GGGCTACCCACGCACCTATCTCCTGTTTTCCGAGCCTGCCTCTCCTTCAAATGTGCTGTCTGACATCCTTCCAACACATCTCTCTTCTGCTTGAGATAGACTCAGGGGCTGTTTGCTGCAAAGAATCCTGATGAGCACGGGGCCTTTGAATGGGGAGAGACTGAAGGCAGGCAGGCAGCTGGGAAGCCTTGGCAGTCACATGGGGGAGTGGTGACAAAGGCCCTCAGGAAGGAAAAGGCAGGACAGGGACAAGGTACTGAGGAAGAAGGGTTGACAGGTTTAAGGACAAGAGAAGGCACAGTCACAAGTGACCCCAGTCTTACCAGTGACATGCATAGGTTACGTGGCCGCAGGGAACACAGTCTGTGGGTGATCTCATTAAAGGGCCAAAAATGTCCCCCTTCAAATGCCACCCTGGCTGGAACCCAGGAGCTGGGCGTTTGTGAATGTCAGCAGGAAGGGCCAATGTTCAGGAACTTGGGGCGGGGCCAAGTAAGAGCCATCCCTGGCCCCCCCCCCCCCCGCCACCTCCCCACCCCGTCCCCAGGGAGATTTCAGATGCCCCCAGGACACCAGCCGCGTGACCAAATTCCCCCCGCTCTGGGACTTGGCATGCACACTCTTGGAATTAGGTCTCTCATTCATTTTTATCAAGATCTTCAAAGTGGTAATAAAGTTACACCAATGAATAGCCCAGCACAACATGGGGAATGTAATAAAGGTGAAAGCAATAAAAGGTGGAGGGACCAGCCACTCCGCATGGATACGACTCGCAAGAAATAAAAGTCATTATCACCTGCGCAACCTGGCCGGCCCACTCCGCATGTGCGGAAGAAAACCATTTCAGAACTTTATTTCCTATATTGAATGTCGATAATTGGATGTATTTATAAGTCTCTCTGGAAGAAAACAGCTTGTGATTTCAAGATGAGAAAACAGTCTTCCAAACAGTGAAAAACAATATATTCCCCATTCTCACACACACACAAAGAGCTTGTTTCCGTCGATGTTTTTAAGGTGCTGTTGGAATGATTTGCCTTCCCGAAGCCACCATGCCATTTCTCATCTTGAATTGCCTCGTAGACCCTGGCAAAGCACTCAGCGGGGACCACTTCATCTGAGATGCTGACGGGCTGCCCAGGGAGGGCCCCTCAGCCTCTGCCTCTTTTCTGCAGGAAGAGGGCTCCTCAGGCGGGTGGGTAGGGAGGAAAGGGCAGGAGGAGTGAGGTGGGAGAGATGCTGGGGGTGCGTGATGGAGGGGGGTGGTCGTGCTGGCCTCAGGAATGAGAGAGCTGTGGCTGTCTCTGCCAACATTGCAGAGGCTGAAGGCTGGGACCTGCCAGAGCCTTGATGGAGAGGCGCCCTGTGGGCTTTCCCTTTCCATCACTCCGGGAGAGGCTGGGTAGGAACATGCCACTCCTGCCCTCACGGTTCCTTCTGTTCAGTGCCTTTAGTACAAGTTCCCTGAACCCAGTCTTCTGTCTCAGCAAAAGCAAAACAATCACAAAAACCCCAAATGACACCCCACATCACACGCCTCACACACTGAGGCTGGGGTTCCCCTGGGGCAGGCGCAGAGTCCCTTGCTGGCTCTCTCCAGTTCTGCCCTCTGACCCTCGGGAGATCCAGCTCCAGATGTGAACTTGGCCCCCATTGCTTTCCTGCCCAGAATCAGTAATCGTGGGATGGTGGGAGGAAACGGCAGCCTGTACCCCTGTTCCCCCGACGGTGGGCTCCTCTTCCTCCTCTGCCCCAGGACCTCTGGAGCATAGGCTCTGGGCCTCAACCCCTCACAGCGTGGTCAGTCTCAGAGTGGCACGAACGGGGACAGCTTGGTAGCCAAGGACAGACCCAGCATCTAGGCCACCTCCAGTGTGGTCCTGCAGAGAATTCCAGCAGACCAGTGTCCCCAGTATGCAGCTGAAGATGGATGAGGCCCATGTCATGCCTTTTCCAGGGGACACCTCTCTAAGGCCCCAAGGGTGGCTCCTGTGTCATTCCAGCTGGTGGCCACTTCTGGGGCTGCCATCTCCAGGTGGCCAGCTGTCAGCAATGTCCATGGGGCCGCCGGGACACGTGGCTAGGCGGCAGGGGGTGGGCAGAGTGGGGGAACCTGGCAGGACACAGTGTCTCAAGGACAAATGGAGCCACAGAAGCTCCAAGGAGGAGCTTTCCTGGGACCGGGTTTCTTGTGGACGTCTGGCTGGGGCAGGGCACTTGGAGAGAGTTCCGATGCTCTGGCTGCTGGGCTGGCTGAGCAGGAACATCTCCCCGCCCCCCTTGTAGGTCACAGTGATGGCAGACTGTTTCAGCCAAAGGCCTGTGACCGCAGAGGTGGCATCGCTTAAGGCCTGAGTGTGCTGCCTGGTGCTCCCCCTCGCTGATTTACACACTCCTGCTCCAACTCTCTAAAATCAATCTTTCTCCAATTGCCTCCTGGCTCCCAGCAGCGTCTGGATCTGCCCTGCATGAGTAACTACGCAATCTTCGCCCACTCCCAGGGCTGCTTCTCTGGGGGCCCCAGCTCCTGATGAGGAAGGGTGGGGGTGGGGCCTGGCCCAGCCCTGCCCGAGCCTCTGATGGGGAGGGGTCAGTGGTGGCAGGCAGCAGGGCTGGACCTCCCTCCAGATGGGCCTGGGTGCACGGGAGTCAAGGGCAGGGACACCAGGGAGCTCCACTGACTTGGTAGATGCCCTCCCTCTTTCATTTTTGTGGATGTTTAGGATAATTACTTTTTTTTATGTTAATAAACACTCTGAGCTGGCAGTTGGCTTAATTTTGACATATTTTATGTCAAAAGAAATGGTGGAGGGATTCTAATGAGCTCAGGGCTAGGTTTTTCTTCTGGAAAGGAACAGGAAAAGCTCATTCTGCTCACCCTTTGTTATTTTTAAAGATTTTTTTTTTTTATTATTTATTTATTTGACAGAGAGAGAGATCTCAAGTAGGCAGAGAGGCAGTCAGAGAGAGAGGAGGAAGCAGGCTCCCTGCGAGCAGAGAGCCCGATGTGGGCCTCGATCCCAGGACCCTGGGACCATGACCTGAGCTGAAGGCAGAGGCTTTAACCCACTGAGCCACCCAGGCGCCCACCCTTTGTTATTTTTAAAAAGTGTCTCTTTTTTATGGAATGCAGTTTCTTTAGCTGAAGGTAGCGCAATTGTTCAGTGGGGGAGGGCAAGTTCTTGGGGGCCTAGGGCCAGGTGGTAAAGTATAGAGACTTGTCCTCTGCTCTCCCCCCTGGAAACTGGCAAGGGGGCTGATAGACCCTCTCTGGGGGAGTCCTACCTGGAAGAAGGAGACCGCTGAGAGCAAGGATGGGGACGCCTTCTTCCATCACCTTTCCTCTATCTTAACTGGGTCAGGGAGGGGTGAAGGGCTATTTGGAGGTGCCACCTTCTTCCTCGTGCCTTTGGCACCTTTTTTGGCTATGCCACAGGCTAAAGGTGCCTGGATGTTTGGCTCCTGACACCCTACAGCAGCCCCACGGGGTGGTGTCATTAGATCTCACTTGACAGATGAGGAACTCAGGGATGGTGCTGGGATTCAAAGTGGCCATGCTGGGTCCCCCACTCTGCTTATGGTCTGGCTTGGTTCCTTCCCCTGTGTAAGGGGTTGGCTATCTTCCCAGTATTGTGGGAACACATCACAGCTGTTTCTCCATCTCATAGCCTCTGGTGCCTCCCAGCCTGGCCATGGTGACCTACATCCTTATCTTTGACAAAGAAGCAAGAGGTATCCCCAAACCCAAGCCCTTCAACCAGAAGTTACCTTCAGCTTCGAAACAGCTGGGGACTGGGATCAGGATCCCCATGAGCATGGGCTGGGCCCTACCTCCTGTCCTTGCACATCTGTACACCCTCATGTGACCCAGGACCTCAGGGGCGCCCCCACCCCCAAGTCCTGGGCCCCTTTCCTTCACAAAGCCAGCACAGGTAACTAGTCAGGGGTGCCACTGCATAAACTTGGCTCCTTGTGTGAACTCAGGTGAGTTACCCACCTCTCTAGGCCTCAGTTTCCCCATCTTTAAAATGGCCTTAAGGACAGAGCCTACCACACAGAGCTGTTGTGAGGATTCAATGAGCTAACATCTGCAAAGGACGGGATCACAGGGAGTGCTCCATACCTGTTGCCAGTAGTTGTTAGTATTCCTATCATTTTTTTTTTAAGATTTTATTTATTTATTTGACAGAGCTCACAAGTAGACAGGCAGGCAGAGAGAGATAGGAGGAAAGCAGGCTCCCTGCTGAGCAGAGAGCCTGATGTGGGACTCAATCCCAGGACCCTGGGATCATGACCTGAGCCGAAAACAGAGGCTTAACCCACTGAGCCACCCAGGTGCCCCATATTCTAAAACACCCGCAGCCCAGGTTGCTCCCTTGGAACACCTGCTTCCCAATCTCCCTCCCTGATACTCCTTCCTCCAACTCTTTGGAGGAAACTGCACCCAACAGCAGTGCCCAGGAAAGGAAAGGAGAGACAGCTTCTGGCAGATTCTCCCTCCTGAACTGCGCCCTCCATGTGTGCCCTTCTCCCCAGCCCTCCTCACGGGCCCCCCCTGCCTGCGGATCGTCCTCCATCCTGCAGTTGAGGAACCTTGGAAAGATCCTACCAGACTTAACTTTCCAGCCACATACCGGAGGCCCTGCAAGATCTGACCCTTGCTTACCTCTGAGGTCTTACCTCTCATTCCCACACCCCTCTCCTGGACACTGAACTTTTTGGTTACTCCGATAGCCCTGGCCTTTGCTCAAGTTATTTCCCTTCCTCAGTTACAGCTGCCCCGCCCCTAGATTGGGTCAAAGGCTCTCCCCATCCCCCGGCCTGGGTTTCCTCCCCAGGAAGCAGGGTTGAGATGAGGTCTCCAAGGCCTGGGGAAACCCCCTTACTGTGGAAAGGCCTCTGTCCCTGACTCTGGCCCCAGCGAGTAGGGCTCGGCTCCTCGCGGAGTTGGACGCGAGAGGGGGCGGGGCATGGGTGTCCGGCCCCGCCCCGTCCCCGCCTCCCGCGGTGGGGACCCGGCCGGGTTCAGCTGATGCCTCACTTCACGTGACGCTGGCTCTGGGCGAACATGGCGGCGGCCACCGGGTGAGTGCTGCTCGCGTCCCTGGCCGTTGGCCGGCGGCGCGGAGAAGGGGCCTGTGTCTCCGGGCTGATAGCCTCTGCCGGCGGACCGCGGCCCGGCTGGTCGTGCTGTGTGGCCACGGGCAGCGTGCTTCGTGGCGTGGGGCGGGCATCCGAGCGCCGGGCGGCTGACCGCGCGCTCCTCGAGTCAGGGGCAGCTGAGCGCCCCTCTCCGCTGCCGGGTGGTCCTCGGGGCCATCCTGGCGCTCAAGCCCCACCCTAGCGCGTGGCCGAGGTGGGGGCTCGGACCTGCAGGCGCGTTCACGGCCACGCCCCTCAGACGGGCAGACCGCGTTGCTGGTTGCCGGGGAAGGAGCTCTCCCCGGAGGAGGCGGTTTCTAAGAAGGGCTCGGAATCCCTTCGCCAGCGGGGCACTTCTCCACTTCCTTCAGGGCCCAAACGTCACCTCAGAGAAGCCTTCCCTCTGTACCTGCCCTACGTTTTGTAGTCCTTATCACCATCTGATAAACTATAGAGTGCTGTTATTTTACTTGTTTCTTGTCTTCTCATTTGGAATGTAAGGTCAGGGCCTTTCTCTCGTTCACTCCTGGGCCTCACTTGCTAAGTGCCTTGCACACAGTAGGCGCTTCCAGAATCCTGCTGCATGAAAGAATGGGTGAATAGTTTTGGTGGCAGGAAGTGTGGACAGATGGGTTCACCGGAGCCTTGGGGAAAGTGCCCCGGAGGAGGGAACATCTGAGCAAAGAGTGAGTGACAAAGGTTGAGAGTTAAGACTGTGCTGGGGATGGGGGAGAGTGGGGTGCATCCTTGTGCTGGAGGGTGTGGTGTTCCAGTTGGCTTGTCCAGACTTTGTCCTGAGGGGCTGAAGCCATTCACGGGTTTTAATCTAATCAGATGTGCTCTTTAGACAGTTGCTTCCCTGGGTTGTGTGTGAGTTCAAGGGGAGGCCCAGTGATGGGTATGACTTATGGGCATGGTGGTGCTGGGGGCTAGGAGGGGAAGTGGTAGAGAGGGGGCACTGCCCCAGATGCCAGGCTGGGAACTGAGATTGGAATGGTGGAACCAGTGGGCTGACTGCATTTTTCTTTTGGGGAGGTGGGGATAATGGAAACAGAACAGGGTTGAGAGAGCTTAGGACATAGAGATCAAACCTTTAGCGGGCATCTGCTGTATTTCGGGGTCAGTACTGGGCCTACCCTTAGGTGCTCGCAGGCCACTGGGGCAGATGCACACATGGTGCGTGCCGTCCACCTGTCTGCCTCTGGTCTTGGTGCGTGCCATGGAAGGGCATGGGTCCTGAGCTCAGGGGAGAGTGTGAGTAGGCTTCAATTCCTGGATGACATGTGTGCCAGTCCTTGGGTGCCCCTCAGGCAGAGACAGAGAGAAAGACAGCCATATTGAGTCAGGACCAAGCCTGGAAAGGGACAGAGAGAGCAAGAGGTATAGGCCAGTGCCCAGATAAAGGTCTGTTGTCTTTATATCTGGGCCAGCCAGGTGGTCACGGAGTTCCAGGGGCTTCATTTGGCTTCAGGGCTCCATACTGGCCTTCTGCTCTCCTGAAGGAACAGAGGAGCCAGGCTCCTTGTTTGGATTGAGGTGAGCCTGGACCTGGCCAAATCCTGGAAGGACGGTTCTTCCAGCAAAGCTGATCCTCTGGGGCCAAGCGGGGAGGCAAGAGGAGGAGACACAGAGTGACAGAATTCTTGGAGAGGTACACTACACTATTGGAGATGTGGGTGGCGAGGGGGACAGAATTCTGCGTAGGATGAAGAAACTCTTTTAATTTTTTTTTTTTAACGGAATGGCTCCCAGGGATCTGCTCCACAGAGGGCCTTTGCCAGTAAGGAAATGCAGGTGAGCTGCCCTGGGTGTGAACCCATTGGGTCATAGGTCATAATAAAGTCAGCGTTTTTCGGGAGAGAAAGTAACCTGAGTAGTCAAGTTCAGGATCAGAGCCTGTCCCCACCCTGATGTTAACCTCGTGCTCCTGGGGAAGAGGTGTCAGGCTGACCCTGGTAGATGGGTAAGGGTGGGTCTGTTAGAGTCAGGCTGGCCGCTGAGTCCCCCTTTGCCCTCTCCGGCCCCTTTCCAGGCTTGGTTCTGACTCCATATGGCTGTCTTTCTCTCTGTCTCTGTGTGTGCTTAGTGCCCCCCGCTCCCCCGACCCTTCCAGCCAGAGTGAGTGGATTGTCCTTGCTGATAGTCAGCTAGTGGGTTTGATGCCTGGCTTAGCCCAGAGGCTGAGGGTGAGGAAGCAGGAGGTGCTCGGCTGGCCTTTCTTGCTGGGAGCTTAGCAGCGGGGCCCCCTCTAGAAGTGGCATCACATTCCGGTGCAGGGTCCTCGTACTTGTCTGTGCCGTGGACCCCATGTGTATCGGGGAGGCCTGGGCCCCCGTCTCAACATGATGCTTTTAAATGCATAAAAGAAAACATGGAGGATTACAAGGAAAACCGATTGTATTAAAATACAGTTGTCAAAATGTTAGTAAATTTACAGTATAGTGATAGATGTTATTAACCCATTAAGTTATAAAAGCAGCAGGCCTAATAACCACCTTAGTTTTGAAGCAGTGGTGAGCAAGAGTGACATTTTGAGCTACCGTGACATGAGTAACGTGATAGGAAAATGCCTGTGATTGTTCTTGGTGACAGGTTCATACATTGTTGATACTGTGAATCGGGAAATGCATATTGGGATGAAGATTCGAGCCCATAAAAATATCATTTTTTCCCATCCAAGTAGATGGAATCCCTCAGTTCTATGTGTAAATCCCCACGGGCCTTGGGTGCGAGCCCTGCATGTGGCCATAGGAGAGGAGGGGGTGCTCAGCCCTGGTTTGGGGGGGACAGGAATGGATTGCAGGGGCAGCAGCATCACACTTTCCCTGAGGCCAGCCCCTCTCCCGGTCTGCCTGGGCCCTGGCAGTTTGTAGGCCTGGGCTGGCTTTGGGGTGGGGGTGGGGGGCTGGAACTTGAGCTCTGGGTCTCCCTGGTGCCCAGAGCCGGTCTGCCAGCCCCTGCTGTCTTCCTTGGCCATTGCCTTATTTATGCCGGCACTTGGGGATGACCTGGCTTTTGCCTTCTGCATTCTGGATGTCGGTGAGCCCAGTGGAGAGCTGGTGGAGATGGTCTGTTGGCGCTGCTTCTGCTGAGCTGGCAGGAAGTCATTCGCACTGGCTCTGGGGCAAATCTTTTCTCACAGGATTGGCTTACACCGGGAGAAATCAAAGGGTGCATCTCTATGGACCTTGATTCTGGGGGTGCCCAGCCCTAAGGAGTGACCGCAGCTCATCGGCCTGCCTGCCCTGCCCTTCTGTGTTGTGGCTGAGCCCACGGGGGCCTGGGGAGTATTGCAGATTTTCTTCATGGTAGTGGCTGACGCTCTCAGAGAGGATTCTTAGCAAGTTTCCTGTCTCGATCTGGGCTGCTTGGCCTGTGGGCCAGAAGGTCACAGTCCAGGTGCCCTGAGACACAGAGGTGTCTCAGAAGGTTCTGGACAAGTGGAAGCCCAGCCCTTGTGAGAGCCTTCCTGGTGGGGGCATGGTGGCAGGCCCGGGGGAGCTGATGTCTGGTGTGTTTAAGGAGAGAGGGCCAGGGAGAGGGTTGAGGAGTGGTGGGGGACGAGGTGGGCAGGGCTAGGGGTGGGTGCGGTTTGGAATCGGGCCCTTGCAGCCAGTTGTGCTACGGAGTCTGCAGGCGTCTGGCAGCTTTGGCCAGAGCCACCTGCTGTGGTGCCTTGGCAGCAGCCCCTCCGACCCTGGGGAATGTGCTGTGACAAGGTTCTCCACGGGCTTTGCTGAGTGAGGGGAAAGCCTCGGGGATGCTGGGGGCTGCACTTTCGGTTCCTGTGTGCACGGCCAGCTGGGACGCAGGCATGTTTATGAGCTGCCACCTCTGCCCTTTGATCTTTGGGGCTGAGCGCAGCAGAAAAGTGGCCCAGCCTCGAGGAAGTGCTGGCCCCTGTCCAGCCTCTCTGGGAGGGTGAGTGGCAGCCCATGCCCAGGGACCCGGGCGTTCTGGTCCCATGGATGTATGTGGGGTGTGCGTGAGCCGTCCACCCTTTCTGGCCAGGCTGGGCCCCAGGGTTCAGCTTCCTGCCGCACTGGAGCTGATGTGGCAATTTCTGGTCAGCACAGCTGTGTGGGTGACCCCACATTGTGACAGTTGTCCACTCAGCGAGTATTTATCCAGTACATGCCGTGTGCCGAGCAGAGTGCTAGGCACTGGGGCAGCAGTGACCAGAGCAGACCCAGATCTGTGTCCGTGGGCTTGACATTCTTGTGTGCGGAGGCAGCCCCTGCAGTGAGCACCAGCGAACACAGGCTGTGTCTACGTTAGAAGGTGTTTGTGTCCCTTCGGCCAGGGACCTGACAGAGCCTCACTTGAACGGGTGATGGGAGTTTACCGCAGGGTCAGTTTACAGCGCTGCGGGCAGGTTCAGGGGACCTGGGAGAGAAGAGGCAGCAAGCTGGCCAGGAGCCAGTGAAGGCGGTGCTGGGAGAAGGGAGGCCTGGGAGCTGTGGCCCTGAGGGGTGGGTCCACCAGTGTCAGGTTCCAGGTTCCACCAGGGAGGGAGCAAGGAATGGATTCCCTGTCGTCCCTCTACCCTCTGGTCTCCTGCCCTGCCTCCCAGTGGCTAAATCACCTGGAGCCTTATTGAAGTACGGGGGGGCCTGACCGGAGAGCCCGGGGCCTGCTTGACAGGAGGTGAGATCCCTGCCCTCTTAGAGGTTACATTTTCCCTGGGGAAACCAGGAGCAGGTAATAAATGATGTTATGCAGTACTGTGTGCTCTAGAGCAGCGTGAAGAGAACAGGGAATAAGGTTGGGACAGAGTACTGGTAAGCGTCTGGGGAGAGCGGCCATTTCTGCAGAGATGTAGATAAAGAGCTGGGATGCCCTGCAGGCAAAGGTTAGATCCCCTCAGTGCCCGGTAGCTGTCTTCCAAGTGCACTTGACAGCTGAGGGCAGCAGGCAGGGGAGGGCCTGCACAGATCTGCATTATAATGGGTCCTTCTGGGTGGGTACAGAAGAGGTTGTGGGGGGAAGCTAGGACCAAAGAGATCCTGGAGGGTTCCCTGTGGTTGTCCAGGCCGGAGATGGGGGTCCCCCAGCTGGAGGAGGTGCTCAGGAGGGAGGGAGCCTGAGCATGGTTGGGGGCTGTGGAAAGAGTGGTCCCCAGGGTCCTGGGTGCCCAGAGGCTGGGTGAGGACTGGGAAGCCAGTGTGGATGGGGAGTGTGGTGGTCACTGGGGCCTGGCAGGGGCTCGAGTGCGGGAAGGGGTGGGCCGAAACCCAAGGTGGCGATTGAGGAGAGCATGGGCCGCTGGAGCACCAGAACGTCAGGCTTGAGCGACTCTGCAGAGATTACTTCCTTCAAAGGGGAGTGAGAAATCAACTGCTGGAGGTGTGCGGCAGTCAAGAAAAGCACTTTTATTTATTATGAGGGTGAGGTTCCTGTCCGTTGGAGGTGAAGAGTGATCCTAGAAGGGAACCGTGATGCTGGAGCGACCTGGGAATAGACATGGGATGCAGGGTGCGGAAGCAGGCGGGCCTTGGGGAGTGGGTGCCTGGAGGGTAAGCTCTTTTCTTGGCGTAAAGGAGAGTGGGGTGGGGAGAGACGCCCACCTGCTCTCTGGTGACATCTGTCCTCTAGGACGGCACTCCTAGGGCTGCCACTGCCTGGTCCATCTCACCATGGTCCCCTTAGCACAGACTCGCTTCAGGTCCTGATACTAGGTGTCCTGGCCTGGGCTGCCGGGTCTGAGAAGACAGCATCATGTAGGCACAAGGGCAGGGATCCCGTGTTGTCTGGGCCAGATCACAGATCCTTCTTGCATGGATGGTAAGCTCCTTGAGACCATTGCAGGCTTTCCCTCCAGGGGCCTCACCTGCCCACTGGTGAAGCAGAGGCAGCTTTCCGTCATCCCCACTCTGGGTCCAGGGCTTGGGGACAGTTGAGGAGAGCGGGGTCTACGAGGCCCTGGCAGCCCAGGGAGGGGCTGTTTCTGGGCCGAGCAGGTTGAGCTTGGATGAGGGGGGGTCCCCCAGCAGGCTTGGCCCTCCGGTCACCTCAGGCTGCAGGCAGTGTGGATGGGGTCAGTGGTGCTGACAGGAGCCCATGTGGTGACTTGTGCTTATGTCTTTGCAGACCCTCGTTCTGGCTGGGGAATGAGACCCTGAAGGTGCCCCTGGCGCTCTTCGCCCTGAACAGGCAACGCCTGTGTGAGCGGCTGCGCAAGAACCCGGCTGTGCAGGCCGGCGCCGTTGTGCTGCTGCAGGGCGGGGAGGACGCCCAGCGCTACTGTACTGACACTGGCATCCTCTTCCGCCAGGTGAGCCTGCCTTCCTGCTTCCTGCGCCTTCACCTGCGCCCCAGGCCTCTGGTGGTCTGTCCACCCTCCCCCAGCATCAGACTGGTGGGCCTTGGGAAGCTTTACCCCCAAGGGGACCCTGGAGAGGCTCTCAGAGGGTGGGCCCAGGCCTGGGCACCTGGGGAGCCCTGATTCTAGAGGGGTAGAGCCCTCCTAGCTGTGGGTGGGGGAGGAGCTGATGCCAGCCAGTCTCAGCTCTTAGTCAGAATACAGAAAAATGACATTCCTGGGGGAGCAAGCAGGCAGGAAGTCTTCATGGAAGAGGCAGTATTTGGAGTGGGCTCTGAAAGCCAGGATGAATTCTCATGAGTGCATTTGAGAGTGGGTGTTGCAGGCTTGGGGGGTGGTGTCCACAGGAGTGCGTGGTAAGGGGGTGGGCTGGGCAGAGGTGCAGATGGGAAGGCCTGACTTCCTGGGGCCAGATTCTGCCTGCAGCAGGGAAGACACAGGCCGCAGCGGACCGGGAGGAGACATGGGAATGGGGTGCTGGGCAGGAGTGGGAGGCCCTCACATTCACCCCAGCTTGGCCATTGTTGACTCTGTGACCCTCGCTGGGCTTCAGTGTCCTTGCCCCGGAAGTAGACTAGGGATGCCTTGAGGTTCTGGAACCCTGTGGTAGAGGGTGGCTTAGCTGCTAGAAGCCAGCCCAGATGTGGTGGCCTTGGCTGAGAATCATAGGCATCACTCAGTTTCCAGGAGCAGGAGCAAGAACCCTCAACAGAGGAACTCACCCAGAAAACCAGAGAGGCCCTGAGCTGGCCCCACTCTCATTGATCCCAGCTCTGCACCCACTTTACAGATGATGAAACCAAGCCTCAGAGAGGAACTGACTTGCCAGAGGGGGAGCCGGCATTATTTAGAACCCCATCTCTGGACTTTAAGGATAGGGCTCTGCTCTCCGCCATGCCCAGAGCTGGTGGGGTTCCACCCTGGGAACTCTGTATCCTCCTTGGGGGCAGCAGAGCCTCGGGGACATGGCCATCTGGCATCCAGGCCAGGAGGAGGCAGGGAAATGTGAAGGGGACCCAAATGTGGAGGGGCAGCAAGATGTGGCCTCCACAGAGGGCTGTGTTGTCATCCCCCTCCACACCCCCGCCCGCCATAGGACACAAACGGGCTGTCAGCTGCTGAGAGCGATTGCAGTGAATTTTGCCGAAAGTGGCTCCCCCTGGAAAGTTTCCCTATGCCACGTTCTTGCAGCTGCAAGCCTATAGTCCCCTGGTTGCTAGAGACGTGGAGGTCTCAATAAGTCTTTTCTGGCTAGTCTTGATGCTTCCCGAAGTTTACGTATTCTGTGGTTTAAAAAGCGATCTCCTAAATTCAGACCTTGGCTCCCTTACTGCTGTTATGCAAGGTTAATTTTAGAAGAGATCCTCCTCCGCTTCATACCTTTATAAGATTATTTGAGCTCAGTGTTTATTGCTAAACACTGAAGTCATCAGCTGCCCCAGGGGTGGGAGAAGGAAGGAAGAAGTTCTAAATGGAAGAATCCATTTCCGTGCAGATGTCTGGCCTGGGTGTCTAAGTCAAGGTGGTGTCTTGCCTACCTTTGGGCATGGGGGCAGCAGAGAGGCGCAGGTAGGGCTGTGCCGGGCCTGTGGTTTGCATGGGCACCCGTGTCCTAGTGTGCCCTGGGGTGCCCAGCCAGGAGCCTAAGGGGTGTGGCCAGAGAGGGGGTTGTGGGTGGGGCTTGGGCACACGTGTGGACCGGGCATCCTCAGAGGAGGCTCAGAGCAGGGTGGGAGGAGCCAGCCAGGCTGCCCCATGCCAAATCCTGGAAGGGGTTGATGGACAGCCCACTGCTGGCATGGGGTAGGGGAGGCAGAGTGCATAGGTGGGGAACTAGATGAGGCTGGGAGGCAGGCTTTGAGAGCTAGGGGACCTGAGCTGACTCGGGTGCTTGGTCTGATGCCCAGTCTCTCTCCTTGTGCCTCATGTTTTTGTCCTGCTGACCCGGTAACCACGGTCTTTGTTCCCATCACAGGAGTCTTTCTTTCACTGGGCATTCGGTGTCACCGATCCAGGCTGCTACGGCACGATCGATGTTGGCACCGGGAAGTCGACCCTGTTTGTGCCCAGGCTTCCTGCCAGCTATGCCACCTGGATGGGAAAGTAAGGAGCTATCCGGACCTGTAACTGGACCTGCTGACCATTGAGAGTGGGGTGGGGGGGGGGAGGGGCGTGGCTTGTGGAGGCAAGGAGGGAAGGAGTAGGGATAGGTGGGGCCATGTCCCGTGGTGGGGTCCATTGACAGCCTGCTCAGGGGCAGAGCGTCAGAGCCGCAGCCACAGATTATGGTCATGTTTGTGTGGGGGTACTGTTTGTTAATCTTGAAATTTTGGATTCACAGCTTTGTCAAAATGCCAGAGGCTTTGGTCCCAGTGGGCCATCCCTCCTGCGTGGCATCAGCGGCAGGTGGCCCCACCTTGGGTGTCATGGGGGTTGGCTGGGGTCAGAGAGGGCAGCCTGGGACCCTCCTCCAAGGCCCATCTCTCACGGGGCATTGCTGGATGCCTGCTGTGTTCCTGTCTCTGTCTCTGGCTCTGTCTCAGGAGGTCCTGCCTCATTCAGCTCACCTGTGAGACAGGACAGTGGCTCTAGGATTGTGCTGCGGGAGGAGTGTGGCATGGGGTGCCCGGGATGTGCTTGGAGGCATCCTCCCCATCGTCCATGGCACCTGCCAGCTCCAGGGCTCTTGGCCGTGTCTGCCCCTCATGGGAGCCATCCTGCTTGCTGCGACGTGCCTAGGCAGAAGCCATACTTAACCATGGCTGCTCGAGGCCCTTGGGATCCTGCTAAATGTTCCTCGCCTCCGGCATGTCATTTCCGCCTGGAGAATGATTCTTGCGGGCTAATGTCTAAATTGCAACCCTTGCTGCCTGGTGTCCCTCACCCCTCCCCCCCGCCGCCTTACCAGGGCCTGTGGCTACTACAGGGACCTGTTCCGTGCAGAGGGCCAGACTAGGGCCTCCCCCACAGCCCTTGAGTGCAAACTCCAGAACCCCCTTTGTTGGCCTGAGAGGTACCTCTTCTGTCATCTTGGGGCAAGGGGTTTAGGCTTACAAGGTGGTGACAGTTCTGCTTTGAGGCCTTCCGGCCATGGGCCATCAGCTTCACCGTGAAGACAGCTTGAAGAGAAGTGGGCCGTGCTTCCCCTGGGTGTGTTTTCCTGTTTGGCCCTGGAGAAGGAGGGTGGGAAGTGGGCATGCCCGACCCAGTTGGCCGTTGGAGGGCATGGCTGGGCACCTAGGTTCTGGCCTTCTCAGAGGCCCTGGGGCAGGTGGACGAAACAGGTCCCTGCTGTAATGAGCAGGTTCCCACAGCCTCCATGCCTGGGTGAGGGCGAACGCTGGAAGGTTGTGCTGCCTTCTTCCCGAGGGACAGGGAGGTGTGTTGGACAAGGTGAGCCCAGCCCAGTGAGAGCCCCCAGAGGTTCCACACCACCCAGCCCTGGGTAAGGATGAGAAGGGGGGTGCAGAATGGGAGGCTGGCCATCGCAGGTGTCTGCTCTGTCCTCTTGCCCTCCCTGCCCACTTTACCGTGGAGTCTTTTACCTGCAGAGACACTGGCCTCAGGCTTGGCCTGGGCAGGCCCTCCTCAGTGCATTTTTCTGGGACCCCTCCTCCTGCAGGCCTGAAAACATGGGTGCTCATAGGATGGTTTATCCCCCCCAGCTCTTGCCCCCTGTCCTGTGGTAGCCCTGACGGTCAGCCTTTATCATCTTCCTGGTTGAATCCTTATGACTTCCCTGCTTTAAAGCGGCACAGGTTCAGGATGGTGGCGTGGCCTGTGCAGGTCGCGTGGGTCAGTCTTGCGGGAGGCTGGCTGGCTGGCGGGGCATGGCCTCTTTCCAGAGCAGCTCTTGTCACTGTTGGAGCCTCTGGTTCCTTATCTGTGGGACAGTGCCAAGGCTGCTCGTGAGGCACCACCGGGGCTGTCGTCATAGTGAGGGGCACTGCAGGGATGGCTCACTCTGTGACACTGAAAGGTGGTGGTAAAGACGCCAGGGACAGGCAGCTTGTAATGTCCAAAAATGGCCCCAGCAACATTTGTGGCCATTCCTGATGGAGAGGTAGACTCCCCCCCAACCCCTGCCACTCCCTCTGGGTTGGAACTTGGTGACTGCCTTGATGCATGAATGTGGCAGGGTCATCCTGTGGCTAGAACCCTGATTCTTTTTTTTTTTTTTTTTAAGTTTTTATTTATTTGACCGAGAGAGAGATCATAAGTAGGCAGAGAAGCAGGCGGGGGCGGGGTGGAGGAGGACAGGCCCCCTGCTGAGCAGAGCGCACTATGTGGAGCTGGATCCCAGGACCCTGAGATCATGACCTGAGCCGAAGGCAGAGGCTTAACCCACTGAGCCACCCAGGCGCCCCTAGACCCCTGATTCTTACTCATGGGACACCTGTCCCTGAACCCAGCTGCCAAACTGTGAGGAAGCCCACACTTGCCCATGTAGGGGGACCTCGTGGATGGGAGCGGGGGCCCAGCTGACAGCCAAACCACCCACCAGAGTGGGTGACTCCAAGCCCCAGCCTTTGATTCCTCTTGCTAGGGTCCCAGACCTCATAGAGCAGAAATAAGCTCTCTAGGGTCTGTCCTAAGCCCAGACCTTTCAAGTCCATGAACGCGAAAAATGTCAGTATGGTTTGCCCCAAAACCTTGGTAACTGGTACAGCTGTGGTGAGGAGTTTCCTGGTGAGAGTATAGGTCTGGTCTCCATAAGAGAATTCTTCCAGAACCCTTCCTGCACGCTAGGTGATCATAGAGCTGTGGTCTCTGCCCTGCTTGCTAGTGGCACATTCCAGAAATAGCTGGGGCCCCAGAGCCTGGGCAGCACCCGTGGTTTTGACCTGGCTGCTCTCTGAGCTGCCCCATGGCCCTGTCTGCTGGCTCTGAGGGTGCCAGTCCTGCGGGCAGAGGGGCTCCACAGTGAGATGTGGGCATGGGTGGGGGGCTAGGGGAGGGTCTGAGCAGGGCCTTGCTGGACTTTCTATCTGCAGATGGTGGGGGGAGGCTCCAAGCGCATCTCCCCTTCTGTCTGCTGCTTTATCTCGTGTCAGGTCGGGAGTGCCTGTCCTGGAGAGTGGACGTCCTCCAGGGCTGTGGGCGGAGAGGCCTTTCCCTGCCTTGGGGACTCCACCATCCAGTGGGAAAATCTGAGCAAATCTCACCATGTTTCCCCACAGCCACCATCTGGGGAGCCAAATGGCACTTGACTGGAGTGTTTAAAACCCAGGACCTGATTGGTCAGGGAACAGCTGTTAGCAGTTGGCTCTTCCGAAATGCAATCCTCAGTAATACAGGAATACTATTCTGTGCTTTGACAATGGCTGGTTTTCAGGGCCGCTCTTACAAGTTTTCCTCCAGGGGTACCTGGGCGGCTCAGTCGGTTGAGCGTCTGACTCCTGGTTTCGGCTCAGGTCATGATCTCAGGGTGGTAAGATGGAGCCCCGCGTCAGGCTCCGTGCTGAGTGGGCAGTCTGCTTGAGATTCTCTCTCTCTCTCTGCCCCTTCCCCTGCTCGTGCACACACACACACACACACACACACACACACACACACACTCTCTCTCTCTCTCTCTCCAAAATAAATAAATAAATCTCCACCAAAAAAAGTTCTTTAGTCTGGCCCTGTTTTTGCTGAGCCAGCTGATTGTGTAAGTGCCGACCTAAAGGCTTGCGTGACCTTTGAGTGTAGAGATGGGTCTGCAGTATGGGTCTCCCCTTTGGAGAGGCTCCGTGCTGGGCAGGCCAGAATGAGCAGGTCGGTCCCTTCCAGCTGCACAGCAGAGAGCTAGACCCTGGCCTCCTACAGACCTGGCTCCCCACTGTGGCCACCTGGGCAGACCTTTCCCTTCCTCTGCTCTGGCGTGTCCTTCGCCTGGTCCCCATGTCCCGAGCCTTTAGGAGAGAAGGCTCGGTTAGAGAGGGGCAGTGGCGGAGGGGTTGGTTGTCTGGGGCTGGAGCTGGGGAGTTGCCAGATCTGATTGTGTGTGGCTGTCCCCAGACGTTCTCGTGATCAATAGGGCTAGGGATCGAGGCTGGTGGGATTACCTGGCCTTTGCAATCAGAACCCACCAGACTGAACATTTGACCTTCAGCTCCTCAGCTTCCTTTTGAGTCTCTATCTGATGGCTTTTGAAAATCCATCCGGCAGATACCGCAATCCAAAGTCGTCTGGGGAAACAGCACTCCCATCACTAGATCTGCCACTTCCTGCGTAAAGGGCAGGCTCCTGTTGTCAGGGCAGCGGATGCTGGAGGGCCTGTTCCTCACCCGGGGCCTTTTTTGGGGCAGGAGTGTGGTAGCTCCTAATTTGTTTTCATTTGGAATCTTTGCTTGCAAAAGTCTGGTGCCTTTGGATGTGAGTGTTTCTCGTCATTTTTTGTTAGAATCAGGCTCAGCTGATGGCGGCTTTGGCTGCTGGGGTGCCTGAGCTCCTGGGAGTGGGCAGAGAATTGTCTCTGAGTCTCAGTACGGGGCGGCTTCAGAGCCCATAGAGGGTGAGTGACTTTGGGCCAAGTTAGGGGACCCTCCTAGAACCTTTGCAGCTTGACTGTGTTCTCCCCTTGTCCCTGACTGAGACTGAGGGCTCGAAATGTGAGATGGGATGCCTGATGTGTTGGGCTTTGCCGGGAGGAGCGTGCTTATCCTAATGAGGGCACTGCCCAGGAGTGAGTTTCTCCAGGGCTGAGGCCCTGAGCTGGTGTGTGTGTGTGTGTGTGTGTGTGTATGTGTGTGTGTGCGCCCGCGCGTGCACCCGCATGCACGCCGGGTGTAGTGTGGGTACATGTATGGTGTGTGTGTTGGGGGTAGGGTGTGCACGTGGCGTGGGGTGTGTGTGTAGAGTGGGTATGTGGGGCGCAGAGTGGGATGTGGTGCTGTGTATGGTCTGGCACGCGGTGTACACGTGTGCATGTGTCCAGGTACCCCAAACCAGGATGCCTCAGCTGCCCTGTGGCCTCGCCCCGGCTCCCTCTGTCTGCAGGGAGGGCTGGCGGGGCGCCAAGGAAGGGGCAGGCCTTCCTGAGGAGGGCCAGGGGAGTACCTTTGGGTCCTCCTGCCGGAGGTTCTGGAGGATCCTGGCCTCCCTAGTGGGGCAGGTGCCGGCGTCCTCAGCCCTGCTCCCGGGGCTCTGGATCTGCCAACCACAGGCCGCTTTCTGCTGGCCTTCTGAGCCCGGGTGCTTCCCCCACCCTATGGCCCCTCCCTCATGGGCGTGGTCGTCAGGGTCCGTCACCTGCGTTGTTTTGGAAAGATCTGCGTTGCTTTGACCAGGCCCTTGGTTCCTGAAGTGGTTGCCGACCTCTATTCTGGAGTGAGCGCGGCGTTGTGCCGGGAGCAGAATGAGAGGTAGCGGCACTGTGTGCAGCTGAAGGCGGACTCTGGCCGCTGGAAATTGATGGTGACTGCTGTAATTTGGTCCTCTTATTTATTCATTAACTGCACACAGGTGGGCAGCTGGCCGGCAGGACCTGTGCTTGGCAATTTCATATTCTCGAGGGCTCTGTGGTGTGCGTACCACGCGCATTCCTTTAATGTCTCCTTCCCACAGGAGGCCCCGCCCGCACAGGGGCCGCTACTCACTGTGTCGACCCTGACCCTGAGTTCCAGCAAGGGCCTCCTCTAAGTTGTGCTGGGCCTAGCTGCTCATGGCGAAGGCACAGACACCTTTGAGTGGGGCGCTCTCTCCTCTCTCCTGCCAGAGCTGTCTCTTCCCTTTGAAGGGAGGATTTCTGGGCTGGGGCCGGCTTCCCCTCTGACCTGCTTTTCCCCGGTCCAGTGGCTTTGTCTGGGTCTCCCATATGGTGGGATCTGGCATGAGCTCCCCTTCTGGACCCCAGACTCCAGGCAGGGTGGGGTACAGGCCCTCCACGTGGCTGCCACCAGCCTGGCTCTCGGTGGGTCTGTCTGTGCCCTGTGACCTCTCCTGCTGGTTCTGTATATGGCTCTTGTGGGCGTGTTGCCCCTTCCTCGGATCAACCCTGCCAGATCATGGCTGCTGAGCCACCGGTGGCTGGCTTAGCTCTTCGGGTGATGTTTAAATTATTTTTACTATACTTAGCCCCCAAACATGAAAAATAAGCAGTATTTAAACTGAATTATGTGTGCCCTTAAGGAAAGTGGCACGCAGAGTGCCAGAAAAGATGCTCGCAGCTCTTCAGATAGTATCTGTCAAGTAGTCATTCTGTTGAGAACCAGGCCTGTGGTAGTTGGGTGGTTTTGGCCCTCGTGGCCCAGCAGGTGCTCTGGACTGTGTCCATCGATCTCTTTGAGGAGGGCACAGGGCACGTGGTGGGGCTGGTACCCGCCCTCGCTTCCTCCCAGATAATCCGAGTGGCAGCAGCAGGCTCTCCTGTGAGTTGGTGCAGCCCCAGGGCCACCCGCAGGTCACAGCCACCTCGCGTTGTCCTCCCCTTTACCCCTCCTCCTCCCATCTCCTCTGGTGCCACATTGTGAAGACCTCAGGCTGAGTACATGGAGATGTTCCTGGGTCTCAAGTCTAGGTCTGCGAGACTCAAGTCTAGGCTCACCGAGACTCCCAGGCAGGGCAGGTAGGCACACGTGCCCTGGACTGGTGGCAGAGATGTCGTCTCCCCACCCCCGGTAGGAAGCATCCCTCGAAAGCAGGTCCTTGGCACTTCTCAAATCTTCTGGGAGTTTGCTGTGGATGCCTGTCACAGCTGTGAGCGATGACGGGACAAGGGGCCAGAGGGGGGTTGGGAACCCGCTGGGGATGCAGGGCGCCTGTCCTGGAGCTGGGACTGCAGTCGAGGGTGGACATGGCGAGGACGCTGATGGTCCCACCTCACCCTCTGGCACGTGCCTTTGTGCATGGCGGAGAGTGTCACCACTTAATGACCGAGGGTTAGTGAGCTGTCCATGCTAGATGGAGAACCAGGGCCTCTGGCATCCAGGTGAGGGGCTTATCATCCCTGCTGACGTGATAGCTACTCCAGGCCATGCTAATGGCCATGCCAGACTTCGGCCATTTAACTTTTGAGTCCTGTCTCAGAAGTGGAAGCCAATGTGACTGCCTTGTGCAAATGTAATTAGCAGCAAGAGCTTGACACCCAGTGTCCACTTCAGAGAAGACAAAGGGGTGCTCGCTGCGTGGGGCTGTGAGCTCCCTGCTGGTCTCTAAGGCCCACACATCTGTGCCCTGGTCCACGCTGCCTTCTTCACCATGATCTGTCTGGTGCATGCTTAAGTGGACAGGGGGGTGGTGCAGAGCTCATAAGGGGCAGAGGACTTCTCTTTCCTGGCCGGTGATGCTGGTCACTGGTGTCTCAGAGGCACAGGGAGCTCGCTCTCGGAGGTGGTCCTCTCCAAGTCTGGAAGTGTGCTCCCTCCCCTGTCCCCTCTGGGCCTCCCCAGGCACCCTGTCCTTGGCACCCTCAGCCCCCTGTCATCTGCTCACCCTTGAGAGTCCAGGAAGCACAGGCTGAAAACCATCTGCTGTTTTCCCCTGAGGCCTCTTTCGGATCTAACACTTGGTGACTAGAATACCATGTGATCACAGGCAGGCTGGGGGCATATCCCCCCATGCTTATGTGGTGCCCAGGCGTGGGATGGCGCAGGATGGCGTGTGTGCGTCATTAGACTTGGCTGGAGACACCCTCCCCTTGTGTGGCTAGTGTTCCACCTCAGGTGAGCTCTGTCACCAGCAGTGACATCAACTCATCCACTGACCAGGAGGTTGGGGGGTGGGGCGGTGCTTGCCGGCCTGCAACTGTGACCCTGACTGTGACCGGGAGCCCTTTGGGAGGGGGCCCAGCCTCCTCCTCCCTTTGTCTCTGTCTTCTCATGGCTGATTTTTCAGGGATGATGAGTAAGCTTGAATGTTTCTCATCACAGTGAGTAATACTGATATTGACTTCTTTAAAATGTTAATTTTAAAACTTTCCTCTAAAGAGGCTCCATGGGAGAGCTCCCGGGTGGCAGATTATTTCATGCCCCAAAGGGTAAGCTGGCTGGCAGCCCAGTGGGCTCTCACCGGCGGTGGAGGGGGAGGTGTGGTCTGCAGATCCTACCCAGGGTCACGGGCTCCGAGGACGGGCAGAGGTCAGCTGGAGGAGGTCAGGTGGCCAGGGTCACGGGCTCCGAGGATGGGTCAAGGTCAGCTGGGGGAGGTCAGGGGAGGCAGGTGTGGTTCAGCGTTCACTCTGTGGTCCAGTGCCGTTTGCTTCCGAGTCTGTGTTGGGCCCACCTGCTCTGTGCCGGGACAGGGATGGGCCCAGGGCTTTAGGGTCTGGGCATGGGGGCGGGATGGCAGCCTATGCCAAGTGTGTCAAACCCTGACCCTGGTGTTCCTTGTGCTTTCCTTTGAGGATCCACTCCAAGGAATACTTCAAGGAGAAGTATGCTGTGGACGACGTCCAGTATACAGATGAGGTCAGTAGCAGCCGACTCCTCTCTGAGCCACTGAGGCCTCCCTCACCCCTCAGCACGCCGGCACCCCCTTCCTCCCACTGCCATAGCCCCTGGCTGCCTGTCACCTCACCCCTGGCAGCCACCTGGCTGCCAGCCACCTCAGCAGCGCCCTCGTTTGGATAGCGCGGGCAGGACTGTGAACCTCAGACTTCCCTGAAGAGCCCCCCCCACCCCCACCCTTTGCCTGGCCAGTGTCCCTCACTCAGTGGCTAGAGGCCTCTGGTACCTGGGTTGTGGCTGCTTAGCTTCCCAGAGGGAGGACAGCTTTCATCTCAGTGCTTCCCCCCGACCCCCCGCTCAGCCTGGGCCTTCGTGTGTCGGGGAGTTCCCCTCCCCAGCCCTTGGTGGCTACAGATGCCACCACCAGAAAGGCCCCAGACTTTGAGAGGCCTGTGGGGTGGGGTGCAGTTGGAGGGCCCCTGGCTTTAATCTCTTTCCCAGCGTGGATGCCCAGCGGTGTCATGTGACCTGGGTAGCTGAATGACTGTCCTTATAGGGCTTTGCACCTGCCCCAGCCCCTGACGTCCACGGCTGATGGGACGGGGAGGGGGCAGAGGGGAGGACACAGCTATGTGCCCCTATGGTCTCCTTGGGGGACCAAGGCCCCCAACGCTGCTCCATCCCTGGATGCTGTTAAAACGCCCATGCCACGTGCAGGTCAGTGCTGGGTAGAACGTAAACACTGCAAGGTCAGTGCCTCCTGCTGCCTGCTGCTCGAGCCCCACCCCCAGCCTGGCAGGATCAGCTGGGTGGGAGGTGGGGCCCTCCCATGCCACATTTCCCCAGCCGGGTCCAGATCGCACATGGACATACCTAAGAGCTGGGGGTCTGTGTAGAAGCAGCTGAGGACCCCGCCAGCTGGAGACAAGCAGCTGCCCCTTCCCCTGGGTAGGATGCAGGCTGTGCTGGGGAATGACGACACCGGGTGGGAGGCAGGTTCGCAGGGATCCTAACCGGGCTTACAGAGCAGTGTGTGAAGCAGAGTGTCTCAGCCCTGGGGCAAGGGTCTGGCGCAGTGTGCTGGGGGGCACCTGGCCCCAGGCAGGCCTGCATTAGGACTTTCCCACACAGAGACACCGTCCTGCTCCAGTTCTGCTGCCCTAGAATGCCGTGCCCACCCCTCTCGTTGTGCTCGGAGGCCTGTGCCAGCCCGCTGCACCCCCTGCCAACTCTGGTCCACGCTGGCGCCCCTCCCACCCTGGCTCTTAGGACCTGCGGGGGACATGCTGGATGCTGGCTGTGTTCTGCTGTACTCTGCCTTTTGCTGCTTTATATTTGTCTCTAAGGCCCTTCCCCCAGACGTTACTGTCACATCCTGCCTGCCGGGTTCCAGGGGTGTGTGGGCGTCAGAGCTGGTTGAGACCCAGGGCCGAACTCAGCAGCCAGGACACAGTGTGTGGCAAAGGTGACTAGCAGGGCAGTGCCTGGTGAGGAGGGCCTTGGGGAAGGAGTGCGGCTCGCATTCACAAGGCCTCGGGCACCTGTGTCTACAGTACCAGCTGCCTGGTTGGGTTTTAGAGAGGGGGCTTTTGATGGATCTTTCTTTTCTGTCCCAGAATTTCAGTACCGAGTTACTGGGGGTGACTCACAGCATCTAAAGCACCCGTTGGTACACATGTGACCTGTTGTGTTGATCTCTTTGGGTACAGGATCTCAAATAGTCTGAACGTTTATTTGCATGCCCCGATGAGAACATTTGCCTTTTACCTGTATCTCGAAGTACTAGGAGTGAGTACTAGGTACTAGGGAGCAGTGACCTGCTCCATCCTTCATTCTGATTTTGTTCCTGACCCTCTCCTTTGGTAGGTGTATCCCTCCTGCCTCCGTAAACTGTGTGTTAACATTATTGCCCTTGGGGACCTTGACCTTCCCAGAAACTTGGGAAGCCCGGATCTCAGCCCACCGAGTCAGAGCGTCTCTGTGCTGCAGCCTCCCCAGCTACCGTTGCTTTCATGTCTGGGGGAGCCTCTGCTCCATTCCTCCTGTGATTTCTGGGGAGAAGCGGGGAGAGCTGGCCTCCAGATGCAGGGACACGGGTCTGGAGCATCGGGACGGGAAAGCCTGTGGCAATCGTGCGGAATCATAGCCCCACAGAGTGAGAGTGGCTACTCTGAGTCTGTATTTACGAAGCAGAATCTGAAACAAAGGCTTCAGAGGAGTTTGGAAGACAGGCTCTTGGGTCCAGGAGCTGTCTGCTGTGTCCCATTGTCATCACTGTCAGGGTTCATCAGTTCTGTCCTGTTACTACTCTGGTTCTTACTGGGGACGGGGGCTCACTGTTGACAGCTTTACTCTGGGGTGGCCCCTGCAGCTTCCAGTAACATTGAGACAGATCTTATCCCTTGTGCCCTATCCCTTGGTGGGTCTACAGCTTGCAAAGGAGGAGGCCAAGGCCAAGGTGATGGGCTTTACCTACAGCCCCCTAGCTGGGGCGCAGCAGAGTTAGGGGGCAACCCCGGGACCTTTGGACCCCAGAGGGCCTCCACCTCTGCATTTGTGCATTCCATCAGACATAGGGGATGACCGACGCTCCCGAGAGTCTTTGGTTTTCTGTGGTTTGAAATGGAGCCTGACACTAAACCTGCTGTGTGGAGACACCTGCGCTGGGAGGCCTTTGAGATGCCTGGGGCCTGCTCCTTCGTGAAAGGTGACAGGAAGCCCCTTGCATCGGGGAAGGGCTCCCCAGGCCGGTTCTATGGTGCCGGCCCCCAGCTGATGTCGGGCAGTCTCGGCCATCTGTGGCAAATCACAGCTGGGAAGCCCTTCACACCTGTCTTTCCTGAAAGAAGGCAGGAAGGCCCACGCCCCAGGCCACAGCTGGTCACTTGCTGTCGTGTACGAAATGCAAGTGTCTGCTAGAGCGGCTGTCATCCCCGGAGATGACCCTGCTTCTAGTCATTGAGAAGGCAGAGCAAACGAAGGTTCCCCCAAGAAAGGGGAGCTCAGGAGGGCCTCAGGAGGCGCTTCAAGGCATTTCACGCCAGGGCTGGTATTCGTGACTCGAGGGGAGCTGGCTGGCAGGGGGGCCCGTTGTGCACTTGGGAGCTTTTCTGACATTTCCATTTGAGAAGCAAGTTCAGATTTCTAGACGCATTGCCAGCCACCAAGTTGCACCCTTGTTTCAGATGGCCATGAAAAACAGTTCACTTTTTAAGAGATTGTTTTATTCACTTTGGAGAGAGAGGGTGTGTGTGTGCACTAGGGAGAGAGTGCCTTAAGCAGACTCCGTACCAAGCGTGCACCCTGACGTGGGATTCGGTGTCATGACCCTGAGATCATGACCCGAGCTGAAACCAGTAGTCGGATGCCTAACCGCCTGCCCCAGCCAGGCTTCCCAGCACAGTTCACAAGCTTGGGTGCCTGCGGGGCGAAGCCGGCTCCCTCGAGCAGCGCGGGCTTTCTGGGCAGCACTGGTTACGGACTGCCCTGCCCGCTTCTCTGGCGCATCAGGGTAGCCTGCAGGCCTGGCTGAGGCGCTGAGCATGAGGAGGCCTGAGGGGTCCGCGGGCAGCCTCTGATCATCCCTAGGGGAGGGTCCCTGTGCACAAGGCTCTGATCAGTTCTGCCTGTGCCATCTCCCTCAACCTGCCAGAGAGGCATGGCTGCCCAGGACACTGACGTTGGCCGCGGGACGCAGCACATCCAGGGCATTAAACAGCACTGGTCTGTGAGAGCTCATGGGTCCCCAGTGGCCACCGCTCTGAGGACACTTGGCCCAGTGTTGACAGAGCCGGGCCGTCCTGTGTGCTGGAGCTGCATGTTGAGCGGCTGATGCACAGGCACAGCCCTGTCTCCTTTCTCAGGCTGCTGAGAGCGTAGTGCTAGTGGGTCTCCGTGCAGGAAGGTAGACCGAGCTGCCGGATGAGGAGAGGTGTTTCAACCGCAGAGCTAACCAGGGCCTGCGCAGGCAGTCATGGTCAGTCAGATGCTGCGCTGCTGGAGCCTGCAGATGCCCAGCCTGCCCGTGTGTCAGCTCTCCGGCCGGCCGTGCATCCGGCGGCCTGCTTTCTCCATCATTCCTAACCAGCGTGTCCCCAGCCAGCGCTGGGAGAAAGACCATCAGACCACACGTTTGGAATCTGGCCCTCCTCTTTGTCCCTGGCTGCCTGCTTACTGCTGTTGTTGACAGAGCCATTCTGTGCCCATGAATGGAGACCCTTCATGTCGACGTGACAACACACCCAGAGGCCCGACATGCACGGCTCTTATTCCTTCTAATGAGTCCCCCCCTCTTCCAGGAGGGCCTTCGGGAGTGGCAGGGATTCAGCTGAGCTGTTGATGTGTGCAGCATAGAGGCCGGGGTGGGGGGTGGGGTTGGGGGGTCTGCAGTTCCAGAGTCAGAGAGGAGGGTCCGGGGAGGCGGGGCCTTGTGCGCCATTGGGGGAGGGCAGTTGGCGCATATCTGGAGAATTGTCTGGCCACCAGCATCAAAAACCTCAAGGACGCATATGGCTTTTCACCCAGAGGAGTCACTGAGTCTCCTTTTTTTTTTTTTTTTTTTTTTAAGGAAATACATTTTTAAAGGGATTTGTGTTAAGGAAATAGACTTGTCCAGAAGAGTGTTCATCGAGGCATCACTTTTGCTAGTTAATTGTTGGATGTTATTAAAGTGTCCAGCAGAGGCATGAATGAATGAACTGTGTCGTGTCCATGAAGAGAGCCATACAGCCGTACATTCAGCTCTGGCCTCTGCTCATTTGTAACTGTGAACCTGGGCAAATGATTGAACCTGTCTGTTTTCTCATTTGTGAAATCTGGACATGAGTAACCCCAGCTTCCCGGGTAGTTAGATGAGATGATGCCTGGAGTGACCACGGCCATGATCGGCGGCTCGCTGGGCATTTCCCCTCCCCGGCCGGTAGTGACTGGTAAAAATCATGCGGTTGGAGAATACTTCATCTCAGGAGGCAAGTGAAGTGTGTAACTTCATAGGATCCAGATGTCATTACAGATCTCTGTTTTCATGTGCAGAGATAAAAAGTCTCTGGGGAGGAGATTGTAGGTGTATTTTACCTTCTTTCAGTTTTCAGTATATTCCAGGTTTTCTCTGGGAGCTTCTCAGTATTAAAAAACATGTATATACATATGTCAAAACTTATCAAAATGTGCACTTTCAATATGTGCATTGTAGAGCATGTCAGTGATAGCTCAGGAAAGCTGTTAAAACAACAAACAACAAATCCTTCTCACGCTCGCTCGTGTCAGGTCTCAAATGAGTTTCGGGTGGGGACGGGGGCTCAGCTACAGCAGGGGCCTTGATAACCAAGCTGCAGGGTAGACTGCGGTGTGGGGGGCCTGGAGAGGAAGAAAGTGCTCCCGCCAGGGTGCTTGGCGCTCTCAGGTACAAATGTCACAGCTAAAGCAGCGTGGTGGGCACTTTGCCAAGGGAATAGGGCAGGAGATGAGGGAGTGAAGAACCTGTCTGGGGAACAAAGGGCCTCACTGGTTGATGAGCAGGGAGGAGGCATTCCAGGCAGGGGTCAGAGCCCAAGCAGAGGCACGGAGAGAAGAGGTTGCATGGCACACTCATTTATGGGGCTGGGATAGGAAGCAGCCAGAACGCAGGGTTGCGAGGCCTGAGGGGGTCAAGGTGGAGCAAGGATGGAGAGCGGGGATGCGGGATTGGGGACAGAGGGTGGGATCAGGGGAAGCTTCCTCCATGCAGTCTAGGAGTTGCATGGGGGTGCAGGGAGGAAGGTGTCTGCCCTGGGGACAGAAGGCTGTTGGGATTGGTGCCTGAGATGTAGTAGGAACAGGTCTTTCAGGAGGGAGCAGATGAAAAAAAAAAAAAGGGGGAGCAGATGGACAGAGGTGCTGGCCTCCTGGCAGAGGTGAGGGTCGGTTGCGTGGGCCTGGCGGTGTGAAGCCTGGCATGTGTGTGGGGCCCAGAGGCGTGTGGGAAGCTGTGCCTGATGTAGGTGTCTCTCCCTGTCTGCCACTTGAAAGCCATGTGGCGTTCAGAAGTCCTCTGGCATCTGCAAGCCTCAGTCTTCTCATCTGCAACAATATCACTGCCTGTTTTTACAACCAGCTCCATAAACATGAGCTGCCATCATTAAGCCATGGTGGCGTTGTCACCTCTATCAGATGTCTTTGCGGTTGTTCTAAAGTGGAATTTTCTTTCTGACCTTTCAGATCGCCAGCGTCCTGACGTCACAGAACCCCTCTGTCCTCCTCACTTTGGTAAGTGGCTGGTGTCCAGGAACCAGGCACTGGGGAAGGGTTTTAGGGAGCTGCCTGCCCCTCCAGAGGATTGGGAAACAGGAGGAATGGTCATCAGTAACAGGTGGTGACACGTCATTCAGGGCGGCTGAATACAACCGGGACCATGTCTTCCATCCTCCAGTGTCCCCGGGGTGGGCTGGGTCCTGCCAGAAGACACCTTGCCTACTACAGAGGTTAAGACGCAGGTGGAGGGTGTATTTGTGTCAGGCTGAGTTGTGGAGTTTGTGGATAAGGATATCAGTATGCTTCCACCACCTGTCTTCTCCATTGTTAATAGAATTTTTTTTTTTAAAGATTTTATTTATTTATTTGACAGAGATCACAAGTAGGCAGGCAGGCAGAGAGAGAGAGAGAGAGAAGGAAGCAGGCTCCCTGCTAAACAGAGAGTCCGATGCGGGGATGTGGGGCTCGATCCCAGGACCTTGGGATCATGACCTGAGCTGAAGGCAGAGGCAGAGGCTTCAGAGCCACTGAGCCACCCAGGCGCCCCTGTTAGTAGGATTTTAAGACACACCGTGGCGTGCATCTGTGAGGTTGTTGTTGGGCATCAGATTTAGGATTTTAAAAGACACACCGTGGTGTGCATCTGTGAGGTTGTTGTTGGGCATCAGATTTAGAATTTAGACCGAGGGTCTGCCATGGCCTGGGGGTGGCTTGGGGTGCACAGGGGGCCCTTGGTGACTTACATAGGGCTGTGGGGTTCCTCGGGCTGTGAAATGGCTCAGAGAAGAAGCCTGCTTTCTTGCACTTTCTCGACCTTGGGGAGTTTCAAATATGGAGCATGTACAACCATTCTTCCCTCCCAGAGTGACCCTTCTCTCCCTTGTTCATCGATTCTTTTTCAGAAATAGTTCTTCTTGGTTCTTTTATTTATTTATTTTTTAATTAATTAATTTTTTTAAAGCACTTCACATGGTGTCTCTTTTCCGCTCTGCTGTTTTAATGGCCGAGCAGGAAGATTACATGAGATGATTGTGGTCGGAGCTGGCTCGGTGTGTTTTCTTTAGGGAACATTATTCAATGTTGGCCTGTCGTTCTTGAGGAGGAAGGGCAGTTTAGAATGCCTTGCCTCTCCGGGGATGACATGCTTTTCTCTGAGTCCCCTTTTGTCTCCTCTCCTGAGTTCCTCTTGGGGTCTCCTCCCAGTCAGGGAAAGGACAGGGAGGTACCACAGCTCCGTGGTGTCACTGAGAAGTGCCCATCATGCCAGAGTTGGGTCCTTCCCATGACTCCGGGAGGGCTGGGTTTGACCGAGCTTTTTGGGCCCTGTCAGTGGGGAGTGTGTGCACACTCGTGTGCATTGAGAGAGATGGGGCCAGCCTGGGAGAGTAGATGGGGTGGCGGGGAGAGCAGTCTCGTAGCCCCATCTGTGCCTGCACAGTCTGAGCCGGTTTCAGCAAACTGGTCTGATGGAGGAGGCTTTCATTCCCTTGGGATGCTGTTTGTGCGTCCCTTTCCTTTCCTCCATGTTCAAGCTGCGGCGGAGAAGGGACAGCTTGCCTTTGTGCAGGGGCGGGAGGGCGGGCTTGGCTGGGAGTTACCTGAATGGCAGGAAGGGATGAGTTTGCTGGGCTGGAGTGGGGGCTCCTGAGGCTGGATGGAGGAGGCAGGCCCTCCCCTGCGGGTGGTGGGGACACTGTGGGGTGGCCCCATGTGCTGAGTCTGCCTTTCACGCTCCCCGTGTCTCTGCAGCGTGGCGTCAACACGGACAGTGGCAGTGTGTGCCGGGAGGCCTCCTTCGAGGGCATCAGCAAGTGAGTCCTGGGGCTCCTGGAATGGTCTCCCCCTCCCCCGCTCACCTCTTCACTGGGAGGCCTTGCTCTGTCTGCAAGCTAAACACAAAATACATGAACAGGAGGATGCTAAGGGGCCAGATCATGTATTTTGAGGAAATGTTTAGAAAAATAATTTGCCTAATATCGCTTCAACTTCTGCTTCTCTGTTGAGCTCCACAGTGCGAGTGCCCACTGGCCCGGGCTTGGGGAGTGTGTGCAGGGTGAGGGGACCTGCTGTCCCTCTAGAGGCCTCCTCTCAGCTCTGTGGTCTTTGCTCTTCTCAGCCCCTCCCCTCAGTCCTGGCACTGACTTCTCCCAGCCTGAGTCGTCTGTTGCCCCAGTCTCAGCTAGGGACCCCCTTAATTGCCCTCACTCCCTCGTTTAGCTCCAGGCTGGTTCTCCAAACCCCATTCCTTGGCCTGGGCCTCTCTAGGCAGGAAAGCAGATGTGGGGCTGAAGTAGGGCACCTTGCTCTCCTTGTCTCCCTTAAACCAAGGCCCTTGGAGAGTACTTCCTGCCAGCTGGGCTGTGTCCCCAGGCCAGCTGGGGACTGGCCCTGGGGTGTCTGTGGAGCCCTAGGTGGTGGCAGAGGAGCCCTTGGGGGGGGGACGCCTGCTCCCCCAGGCTGCTGAGTGTGGACTGCCCCCCCAGCCTTGATTCTGGGCCTCCATCCCCAGCTCCTCCCCCACCACACTCAATCTGCGCCACTGCATCCTGTCGTCCTTTGGTGGACTGAGGCGGTGACAAAGGAAGTGCCTTATAATTATGTATGAGCCTGAGCCACGGGGAGTTGGTGCGTCTGTGTGATGTAGCGGTGATTAGGAAGGATTATGAGCTCATAAATATGTATCACTCCCCCAATGATAAGAGTGATGGGATGGGGGCGAGTATCCCGTTTGCTTCTCATTGCTTAAATCCCTGCATCCTCTTGGGAATTTCCCCAGAGTAGCCACGTGCTTGCTCCTTGAAATGTTGGCCTTGGAGCTGCCATTCCACGCGCCTCCTGCACACCCCCCCCACCCCCGCCAACACCCCTCCAACTCCACTTGGCCCCAGAGCAGAGCAAAAGGCCTGGGCCCAGCCTCCTCTGGTCCCCCAGCATGGCCTGCCTCAACCAGCACCAACATCTGTGTTCCCATGGGCTGGCCCCACCAGCCTCCCTAGGTCTCTGCCTCGTGGGGCAGGCCCTGAATGTGAGGAGGGAGCCCTCATGGTCACCTCTTGGGCCAGTGCTTTGACCTTAACAGAGCTTGACCTCTGAGCCTTAGCCCCCCCCCCCCGCCCCCATACATAATGGTGTTGCTGGGGCTTACCATGGAGGGGGAAATGGGATCCTGCCCTCTCCCAGAGCCTGGCATGGAGCTGGTGCTCAGGAAACAGGTGTTCACTCATTCACAAGCACATCCCCATGCAGCCCTGTTGCTCCCCGAACCTTGGTCTCTGCATCTGTGCAGTGGGCCACTTGGACTTTGGGATCACTGATCGGAAGATTCCAGTGTCAGTGAGTTGCAGGTTCTTCACCTGCCCCCTCCAGAGGCTTCTGGTGCCGAGACTGCCTCCCCAGCACCCCGGGAACAGGTCTGGCAGGTGGTGTGGCACGTTTGGGAGGGAGCTCTGGATGTGGCCCCCGAGAGCAGAGCGCTGCTGGCCGTTTCCCAGGTTTTCCCAGAGAGAAGGCGTGGGAAGATTCCAGGGATGTCATGGTCAGTGGGCCATGGAAGCTAAGGCCTCTTCCCTAGAAGGAGTCCTGCCATGAACATATGCAGACCTTAGCCTCTGGCCCCTGTTGCTCCATGGGACCCCTCAGCTTCCACCAGGAGCCCCGAGGAGCCCGTGTGCTGCCCAGCCCCTACCCCACCCGGCATTTGGAAGCTGTTTTGGAAAGCCAGGCACTGCCTTAACCTTGCTTGTGCTCCCAAGGCCCTGGCTGGTCCCTCTCTGATCTGTAGGCCAGTCCAGATGGGGCTCACTCTGGGGTACTCCCCGGCCCCTCCCTGCTGGGCCAAGAGCCTGCCCCCGCAGGCCAGTGCTGGGGGCTTGGTCCCCAGTGTGGTTGACACGCTGCTGGTGAGAGCCCTTCCACATGTCTCTGCTTCAGAGTACCTGGCTGGCCTGTGGTCCTCCCTCCCTTCCCTCTGGGGCCCACTTTGAGTAGCTCGGCCGTCAGGTTCCCTGTGGGGTAGGAACCTGTGGTGGGTGCCCTACCCTGCATGCCACAGATACGCCTTCGGACCCCGGTCTCTGCCTCCAGCTGCCTGCTGGAAGGTCCTGTCTGTACTCGAGGGCTCTTGGGTGCTTCTCAGTCCCCCACCTCCCACTCACCTGGCTGCCGGCACCTCGACTCTGTCCCTTTGTGGTTCTGCCATTGTCCTTGAGGGCTGCGTCTGCTCAGCCACGTTTGCCTGCCTGCCGCGTCTCCAGCTGTTTGCTGTGGGTAATAATAGCCTGTTTCCTAAGCAAGATGAGGCTTGCTATTGTCCTACTTTCCGTCGGTGTCTATCACCGGTTGCTTCTTACTGCCCTAGTAAAGCATCTTATTCCTGGAAATTTGGGTTTTGACCCTTCCGAACGTCTCTGAAACACCTCATGTCTTGGATTTTTGATTGACCTGCTGTGGCAGAAGTTCGGGCTCTAGGTTGATGCTGTTGGGCCATCCCAGGCAACCTTTGTCCCTTGGTCCTGGGGGAGAAAGGAGCTTCTCGTAGAACAGTGGCCTCACCTGTCTGCCCAGTCCAGAACTCCTGGGCTCTTGTCCAGTTGTGCATTCGTCTGTGACCCTCTCTCCAAGTTGGCTCCTCAGCGTTGGCTGCCTCTGGGTCTGTGACCTTGGTGGGGCTGTGGTTTTGATCCTGGGAGACCTCAGAACTCTCTCAGGCTCTTCAGATCAGGGACAGGCCACTTGATGCCCACGGCAGGGAGTGTGCCCGGGCTCGAGCTGGTGAGGATGGTGGAGAACCGGGAGCAGACAGAAGCAGAGGAGAGGAGTGGGGTGGGGATGGTTGACATGCACCAGGATACCCCTGTGACGTGCAGCCCCTGGGGTCACCAGGAAGGGTGTCTCTGTTCTCCCTGGGGTGACAGAATCAGGCGGGGACAGTCGGCTGGGCTTCATGCTGAGTTTGGGCTCTGGCCCAGACCACAGCTCCGTGTGTGGTCCCATTGGAGCAGGGAGAGCTCCCACAAGAGGCGTGGAAGGATCAGACACCCCATGAGCTCTAGCTGGAGATTGGGGTCAGGTGTTCCTTGCCAGGCCCTGCTGAGGGCATGGCCAGGGCTGGTCTGTGGCCGGGGCTAGCCGGAGCTGAGGTGAAGAGGGTAGGGGTGTGGTAAGGAGGGCATGGGGCCTTTCTCTGCAGGCTGCTTCCCATGGCTGCCTGGAGCAGTTGGTTCCTGTAGCCTGGGAGCAAAGGCAGACGTGATAAATCTTTGCTAGCATCTGAGGAGGTTGGCTTTGGAGCAGGTTGTCCTGAGAGAGAGAGAGAGGCTGACTGTAGAGGAGAAGACAATCTGCAGGGCCAGGTGGCCCCCGGGGGTGCCTTCCTGGCAGGAGACAGTTCCCTCCGAAGCCCGCAGACTGCCCGGGAGCCCTGGGCCAGGGCAGTGAGCTGCCGAGCGCTCAGTGTTGCGTCGTTGTCTGAGAGAGAAATATGGTCAATATTTTACATCAGCTGGTTATTCAGGATAAGCATATTTCTTATCTTTTGGCATTTACTTAAATTGCCTTGCCTATTTGAAGACAATCGGTTACAAATTAATTCCATTTAAATAAGCAGTTAAATATGAAATTGCTGAATTTGGGGGTTGCTGATGTAGGGATATAAATATTCAAAGATGGGAATTTTTAAACCCAGGAAAGAGAGGGACTTTGTTAAAACCTGGTGATCACAACAAAATTCCGGTCTGTGTGGTGTGTGTTGGGTTGGGGCGGGGGGGGGGGACTTGGCTTTGTGGTTTCTGTTAACTTGCGTATCAAGGTAGTGTTGGTTAACTTGAGCTTCTCATTACGACCCATGGGATCTCCAGGAGGACACAGGAACCCAGCCCAGCCCCTAGCCGGCGAGGGCAGTGGGGCAGCCTTGTGGGGCATGTTCTCCAGCGGGCCTCACTTTTTTTCTGGGGTTAGAAACTGCAGGGGGAAGGCCAGGGGCAGGGGTATTTGGGCCCATCCCACTCACCCTTTGTCACCTGTCCCTCAGGCTGAACCGACCATCATAGGCATCCGTGGGTTTGTTGTTGTTTTTACCCAAATGAATACATGCTCGTTAGAGAAAATGCTGACTAGGACAGAGGCAAAAGCAAGGAATATCCGAATTTCATCACCCCAAGTTAGACCCTGTCAACACTGTGGGGAATGCCTTTTGGACTCTCCTGTGTGTGTCTTGAATGTTTCTCTATTTTTGTATCTGAGTACCCTTTTGCGTGGGTCTGTGTGTTTCTGCATGTGTGTGTCGTTAGGGGGGATCTTTGTTTATTAGTCTAAGCGTATGCCTGTCTGGGGGTGTCTGTGTGTGTGTGTGTCTGCTGGCGCCTCTTCCGAAGTACGTGCCCGCCTGGGTGTGTGTTCATCAGATCTGTTGTGTTTGCAGCTGTGTTTGTGCGCTGGGTCACTTTGCTGCTCATGTGTCCATAGGTGCATGTTGGTATGTGTACGTACATTTTGTAAAGTGAAATTTTACTGCTGTGTTTGCCTGCTGAGTAGACAGGCCATTGCTTTTCCCACCGTCAAAGTGACATTTGGGGAAATGGGAGGCAGAGTCTGTGTTGTCATCTTGATTTATGTCATCTGCTGCTCTGTTCTTGACTCTGAACCGTGTTGGCTGCCTGTGGTCTCTTTGATATTTCACAAGTAGGGCTTTGATTGTACAACATTGCAGGTGACTTTGAGTTGGTCTTATTTGTGTACTTAGGAGTCCCCAAAGCTTTGGAGATCTGGAATCCTCCCAGCCTGCTAATGCCCCCTTCCCACTTCTCTCCTCTGTCCTTCCTTCTTCAGTGGGCTTAGCCAGCAGTGGGGGTGTCAGCTGCATAACCATGGCATTAGATAGGTGTTTTAAAACATCAGTAACAGGGGCCAAGGAGGGTCTCTGCTTGGTCATGAGCCAACATGCCCTATGTATGATATCCTGACCCGAGATGGAACAGGGTTAGGAATCCAGGGAGTTGAAGGCTTGCCCCTGCTTCTCTGCCGAGGCCTGAATTTTGTGCTGGGCCATGCCAGGCTTCCCCAGCTCTCTCACTGCCAGCTTGAGCTCTGGGTCACACATGATGTACCCCGACCTGATCTTTTTGTCTCTTGGGGTCCCCTTTTTCATTATGTTTATCTTATCAAAGAACGACTTTTGGCTTTAAGATTTTTCTTTATGTTTGCCTTTTATTTCATTGATTTCTGTGCTTTCTAATTTCCTTTTAATTTCTTTAGGTTTGTTTTTTCTCTAGCTTCTTCTTTTTTCTTTTCCAAAGATTTAATTTATTTATTTGACAGACAGAGATCACAAGTAGGCAGAGAGGCAGGCAGAGAGAGAGGAGGAAGCAGGCTTCCCACCAAGCAGAGAGCACGATGCGGGCTTCAATCCCAGGACCCTGGGATCATGACCTGGGCTGTAGGCAGAGGCTTTAACCCACTGAGCCACCCAGGTGCCCCTTTTCTCTAGCTTCTTGAGAGAAAGAAAAGGGTCATGCTTGGGGATTGGAGCTTAGATCATTTTCTTTTTTTCTTTCTTTCTTTCTTTTTTTTTTTTTTTAAAGATTTTATTTGTTCATTTGAGAGAGATAGAGCACAAGCAGGAGAGGCAGAAGGAGAGGGCGAAGCAGACTCCCTGCTGAGCAGAAAGCCCAACATGGGGCTCGATTCTAGGACCCTGAAATCATGACCTGAGCTGAAAGCAGATGCTTAACTATCTGAGCCACCCAGGTGCCACATAGATCATTATTTTCAATGTTCTTTTCCACCAAATGCATTTAGAGCTATCAGTTTTCCTCTGGGCATTGTGACATTTCACACTTTTCTTTCTTTTTTTTTTTTTTTTTTGAACAGCGAGTCTTTAGAAGTCTGTTGGTTAATTTCCAAACAAATTGGGATTTTATAGTTTTCTTTATGTTACTGATTTCTAGTTTAATTCTGCTGTAATCAGTGAGCATTTTCTGTATCTCAGTGCTTTGAAAATTGTTGAATCTTCCAGTGTTTGATGACTATGATAAATGTTTCTTGTGGGCAGTGTTGAACAGAAGTGGAGAGGAAGGGCCTTGTTCCTCATCTTAGGGAAAAGCTTCTCATCTTTGACCATGAACTTTGACATAGGCTGTGTGTTTTTTGTACATAACTTTATCAGGTTGAGGAAGTACCCTTCTCTTCCTAGTTCATTGAGTGTTTTTATCACAAAAGGTTGTTGGATTTTATAAGATCCTTTTTCTACATCTGTGTGATTTGTTCTAAATTTTGTTAATATGGTGTATTATATTTGATTCTTTTTGTCTGTTGAAGTAACCACATTCCTGAGTTAAATCTGACCTGGTCAGATTGTTTGATGGCTTTTGTTTGTTAGTATTTTGTTGAAGGTTTTTTTGGTGCCAATGTTCACGAGAGACTTTCACCTGTAGTTTTCTTGTGATGTCTTGGTTTTGGTATCAGGATAATTCCGAGCTTGTAGAATGAGTTGAAAAGTGTTCCTTCCTCTTCTAGTCTTAGTGAGAGTTTAAAAGGATTGTTGTCAATTCGTTTTTAAGTATTTGGTATTCATGATGCAGGCATTAGATCCAGGGCTTTTCTTTGTGACAAGGTTTTGATTTCTAATTCAGTCTCTTTACTTGTCATGGGTCTATTTGGATTTTTTTTTTCTTGTGTCAGTTTTGGTAGTTTGTGTCCTTAGGAATTTTTCTTCTTCTTTTTCTTTTTTAGAGATTTTATTTATTTATTTATTTTTGAGAGAGAGAGAGAGAGAGAGAGAGCGAGCACAAGCAGGGGGAGAGGCAGAGGAAGGAAGAGAAGCAGAGTCCTCGCTGATCAGGGAGTCAGACATGGGGCTCTATCCCAGGACCCTGGAATCATGACCTGAGCTGAAGGCAGACATTTAACTGTGGCACCCTGGAATTTGTCTTCTTCGTCTCAGCTATCCAGTTATTGCCATATAGAAAAGACATCTTATAATCCTTTAATCCTTTTAATTTTGTTAAGTAATAATGTCCCCCCCCCTTTTTTTTTTTAAATCTCTGGTCAGTAATTTGAACCTTCTCTTTGTCTCTTGGTCAGTCTAAAAGTGTAAATTTTGTTGATCTTTTCATAGAACCAATTTTTATTTCATTGATTTTTCTCTACTGTTTTTCTATTTTCTGTTTCACTTATTTCTGCTCAAATCTTTATTATTCTATTCTTTCTGCTTGCCTTGGGTTTAATTTCCTCTTTTTTCTAGTTTCTTTTTAAAAGATTTTGATTTATATTTGTGAGAGGGAGAGAGAATGTGAGTGCACACATGTGTTGGGGGAGAGGGCAGAGGGAGAGAGATACAGAGAGAATCCCAGGCAGGCTCCACGCTCAGGGCAGAACCTGACATAGGGCTTGATCTCATGACCCTGAGATCATGACCTGAGCTGAACTCAGGAGTCTGATGCTCGACCAACCGAGCTACCCAAGTGCTTCTTTTTCTAGTTTCCTAAGGTGGAAGAGTAGGTCATTGGTTTGAGATAATTTTCTTCCTATTTAACATCGCTATTTTTGGCTATTAACTTCCTTGTAAGCACTACTTTCGCTGCATTCTGTAGGTCTTGGTATGTTGTGCTTTCGTTTCCATTCGTCTCAGTATATTTTCAGTTTCCCTTGTGATTTCTTCATTGACCTATTGGTTATTTAAGAGTGTAAAATGTAATTTCCACAGATGAGTGAATCTTTCTTCTGTTATTGATTTCCAATCTCATTCCAGTGTGCTTGAAGGACACACTCAATATGATTTCAGTCCTTTTAAGTTTGTTGGGAGTTGTTTTATGGCCTAGCATATGATCTCTTCTGGAGAATGTTCCATGTGCACTTGAGAAAGTGGGTATTCCCCTGTAGGGTGGTGTAGTCTAGAGATGTCTGTTAGGTCTAGTTGGTTTACAGTGTTGCTTACGTCTCCTGTTTCCTTGTCAGTCTTCCATCTAGTTGTTCTGTCCATTACTGCAAGCGGAGTACTAAAGTCTCCAGATATTGTGGGTTTAATTATTTTCCCTTCAGTTCTGTCAGTTTCTGATTCCTATATCTTGGGACTGTGTTGTTAGGTGTGCATAGGCTCATAATTATTATGACTTCTTAATGAATTGATCTTTTAATTTGTATAAAACGTCCTTATCTTTAGTAAATATTTTTATTTTTTTTGCCTTAAGCCTTATTTTGTCTGATGTGAATAGAGCTGTTCCAGCTCCCTTTTGGTTTCTGTTTGCATATATACACCTTTTCTCATCCTTTCATTTTCAACCTATTTGTGTCTTTGACTCTGAAGTGTATCTTTTTAGAGCATTTACTTGTATCATATGTCTTTTAATTCCTTCTGCCAGTCCTTGCCTTTTAATTGGAAAATCAAATCTGTTTACATCTAAAGTAATTACTGATAAGGAATGACTTCCTTCTGTCATTTTGTTATTAGTTTCTGTATGTCTTTTGTCATTTTTGTTCTTAAGCTTCTCCATTACCACTTTCTTTTGTACTTAATTGAGTTTTTGCAGTACATTCCTTTCTCATCTCCTTTTCTGTATGTCTTAATTATTTTCTTAGTTGTTACCCGGGGGATTACAAATGACCTCTTAAACTTGCGACAGTCTAGTTTGCATTAATGTCAGCTTCATTTCGGTAGCGTATAACAGCTTTGCTTCTGTAGAGCTCCATGTTGTCCCCTCCCTTGTGCTGTTGTCGTGTACAGATTGTGTCTTCACCTGTTCCGTTTGTCAACACAGATTTATGATTATTGCTTTATATGGTTGTCTTTTAAGTCAGAGAGGTGGAGAAAGGAGTTCCAAAAAAACACATTTACCCCATCTCTCTACTTGCCTATATCATTACTTTTATCAATGCCCTTTTTTTCTTATGTGGATTCAAGTTACTCTTGTGTTCTTCACTACAGTATGAAAGATTCCCTTTAGCATTTCTTGTAGGATAAATCTTGTAGCGATGAATTTTGTATTTTTGTCTATCTGGGACTGTTTTTATTTTTCTTTCATTTTTGAATCATAGCTTTGCTGGATATAGAATTCTGGTTGACACATTTTTTTTTCCCTTTCATCTTCGTGCCTTTTTGACCTTTATAGTTTCTGATGAGGAATCAGTCATTATTCTTACTGAGAATTCCTCATATGTCACACATTTTTTTCCTCTTACTACTTTCAGGATTTTTTCTTTGTCTTTGACAGTTAGATTATACGTCTGAGTGTGGGTCTCTTGGGATTTATCCTATATGGAGTTTATTGGGCTTTGTGGATGTATAGATTCATGTTTTTCATTAAATTGGTGAAGTTTGGGGCCTTTCTCCCCGCCTCCCCCACTGGCCAAAATTCTTCTCCTTTATCTTTCTCCTTTTCTCCTGGGACTCCTATTGTGTGTATGTTGGTGTACTTAACAGAGGAGGCTATGGCTGCTAGGTCCACCTAGCTAGAGTGGAGGGTGGTGTTCTGCAGCTGAGCAGCTTGTTCTCTAACTGCATTTAGAACATTTGGCCTGGCTGCAAGTCTGCTTCAGGAAGTGAGCAGCAGGCCTTCTGTGGGACAGACGGTCATGAAGTTAAAGCTTGAGGCCCTCTCTGGGTCATGCCCTTTCTTGGTATACCTTGGTATTTCTTGCAGGGAGATGATAGACCATTGAACTAATAGGCTTGATTTGTTTTTCCTCTACAGGTTTAACGTCAATAATACCATTCTTCATCCGGAAATTGTGGAGTGGTGAGTATTGCCTGTGGCTACTTTGGCTGTTTGTTTTGCTCCACTCAGGAAGCTGAGAGACCCTGCTGCTGCCACCTCAGACAAGATGGTCCCCAGAACAACTCTCTTCTGTGTGGTTGTGTGTGTGTGTGAGAGAGAGAGAGAGAGAGAGAGTTGGTCTGATTTTCCAAAAGGGCCTGAGTCACTTGAATGTCAGTTAAATTTCTCTCATCTTTTATTTAGGAGACTTTTAAAAACTCTTGCCAGGGGCACCTGGGTGGCTCAGTGGGTTAAAGCCTCTGCCTTCGGCTCAGGTCATGATCCCAGGGTCCTGGGATTGAGCCCTGCATCGGGCTCTCTGCTCTCTCTCTTCCTCCCTCTCTGCCTGCCTCTCTGCCTGCCTGTGATCTCTGTCTGTCAAATAAATAAATAAAATCTTAAAAAAAAAAAAAAACTCTTGCCATGAGTGAGCCATGCTCATATGGTCAGTTAGAATAGATAATGAAAAGAGTGAAAATAAACATCACACATAATCCTATTACCAGAAAGGTAAACATGTTTTCTCATGTTGCTTCTATATCCTGACAAGTTGGCATCCTGTTGTACGTATTCTTCTGTTACCTCCGTTCCTTCCTTGCTGATACTAGCAGCCCGTCTGTACCTGCAGCATACCTGGTTTCTGTTGGGTCACAGCAGGGTAAACTTTCTCAGGTTGGGCATCACCTCTGTGGGCCTTGGAAGTGGCCCTCCCACCCAAGCAATCATTTTGGCCTCAGACTGGAGACTCAGTTGTAGGGCAAGGGGGTAACGGGTTGCTAATTAGAAGGCTGCTGCAGGATCCAGGTGGTCGTGGAAGGGTACTGTGACGAGTTGAGAGCAGAGTAGTGGGCAAGGGGAACGCCCCTGGTAGGAGCTGGCTGTGCCATGAGTGAAGACTGGAGTTGAAGCTAACTCCAGTTTTTTGTCCTGAACAGCTGGGTAATGTGTCACCGGGACAGGGATGACTGGGAAGAGCAGTCTGAAGCAGGTTCCAATGGGAGTGAGGCTGGGACAGAGGTGGAAATCGGAGCGCCATCATAGGCATCGGTACTGACCGTGGGAACTTTCTTGGCAGCCACACACGCTCTGAGGATGGGGCCTGTGTCCTTTCGGTACACAGCCGCCTTTTCTCGTCTCTTGTTTGCCCTCTGCAGCTCCCAGCTGACAGAAGAACAAATCCTGGATACTCAGGAATGGGCCCGCACCCACTTACGCCCCACATGTGACACTCCCTCCTGGCCACTTACAGTTCGGGTACTTTGGAGACCATGCTGGGTTGTACACTCCAGCATCTCCTGAGGGGGAAGTCATTAGTTTGTTACTTTGGAACTTTGCTTTCTTTCTAGCGACATTTCCAAGGCTCTGAGGTGGATTCCACATTCATAAGAATACCTCCCAACTTTTTCAAAGCTGGCAGCAGAACAAATTTGACATTTGATGGAAGTAGAACTATTTTAGAAATGTCACATTGTCTTTACTGCCTCAAGGGTGTGTTTTAATAGTGTGGGTTCTGGCCTCTGTAGTGACCGCAGTCATTCTCAAGTGAGATCCATGGTGCCCTCTGTCCTCTTGGAAGAAGGGAAGGAAGGGTTCTGGGTGGAATGGCAGGCTGGGCCCTCGTTTCTGGGAGAGTGGGGTTTCTGTGACGTCAAGTTATGATTGACTGACACATCTTTGGGCGCCTGTGTCCTGTATGCTTTCATTACTCCTTCCCATCTAGGCCCCAATGAGAGGGGCTCCCTGAGGTGAAAGAAAAACCAGCCACTCAGGCACATCCAAACTCTAACCCCAATCTGTACCCCTCAGCAAGTCACTTCAGTGTCCTGAGCCTGTTTTTTCTGCCAGTGGTGATGAGGTAATACCTAGTTTGTGAAGTTTCACCAAGTATCTTTGACCCTTCAGGCCGCCATGACAGTTACCACGGTGGGTGGCTTCTGAACAACAGGAATGTGCTTCTACAGTTCTAGAACCTGGGAAATCCAAGACCGAGGTGGTGGCAGATTCAATGTCTGGTGACAACCCACTTCCTGGTCCCTAGATGGTCGTGTTCTCACAGTGTCCTCACAGGACAGAAGAGGCGGGCGCTCTCTGGAGTCTCTTTTATAAGTCTTGCCAGTCCCATTCACGAGAGCTCTGCCCGCATGACCTGTTCGGCTCCCAAGGCTCTGAATACCAGCACATCAGAGGCTCAGCTTCAGCGTTTCCGTTGTGGAGGGAGACCCATTTCAGCCTATAGCGCTGAGCCTTGGTTTTCTCACGGGCGAAGCAGAAGTGCTGTCCCTTGATAGGTGATGGCTCAAGGCTTGAATGAAAGCAGAAGTCAAGTGCTGACTCAGCTTAATACAATGTCTGTTGCTTGTTTTAAAAAAAAGATTTATTGATTTGAGGGAGAGAGAGAGACAGAGTGTGTGATTGTGAGTGTGGGGAGGGGGAGAGGGAGAGAGAATCCCCTCAGACTCCCACTGAGTGCAGAGCCGATGCAGGCCTCAGTCTCAGGACCCAGAGATCATGACCTGAGGTCAAGGCCTGAACCACCCAGGCGCCCCTGTCTGTCGCCGTTTGAGACTGCTTGTGTATAAAGGCACTGTGCTAAGCACTTGAAGCTTGTCCCCTTCCTCAAAGAGGCATTTTGTTTATGCTCTAAGCTAGGTGCTCTGATTATCCCCATTCTACAGATGAGGAAGCTTGAGACACAGGAGGGGATTTGCCTGAGAAAAAGCCAGGAGCTGAGCTGAGCCTAGGCGGGTGATCCCAGGATTTGAGCTGCCTCTTGTGTGTTTGAGGGGTGCCCTGGAGGGGTGGGAGTGGGGGTGTTGCCTGACCTTCAGCCGTGTTCTCGGTCCTCTCTTGACCACGGGACATGCAGGGGTGTTGCAGAGGGCCTGGCTTGGCTCTGTGAGAGGCCAGGGTGTAGTGAGGGTGGGGGCCTGAGGCTGTGCAACTGAGCTTCGTCCCCCTCGATGTCCCCCCCCACTCATGTACCCCACCTCCCCGTTAGCCCCTGGGCTGGGGGTGTGCGATTCCTCCTGGGGCCTGTCTGATAGAAGCATGGAGCAGCCTCTCCCAGCACAGAGGATGCTTCCCGCCTTGTTGTTTCTTTGGATGTCATTCATTTCCTCTCTATGACTGCTTTATTGTTTCCCATTCGCTCGAGCAGTGCCTTTTTGATTTCCTGTAAATTCCTCTATAATCATACAGCTCCCCAGAAACACGAGATCATAACTGATCATTTCTCTCCTCGTGCCGGGTATCACAGTTCGAATGTGGAGGTCAAAAGTTGAGGCTGGAGAGCAGGCGTCTCACTTCCATAATTTAGGCTGTGGTTCCTCTCTCCCATTCCGCAGGTGATTAAATCGATCTGGAGTTAGGTTAGGAAATAAAGGGAGATACTTCTGTACTGTCTTCATAGCTCCGTGCCTCGGATCCCGGGGAAGTACGTCGGGAAGCGCCCCAGAAGCACGTCCCCAGTCGCCGTGCGCCTTCTGGGGTTTTAAGTGAGACGGTGTTAAATTGAGTCACACACCGATTTTAGAGCTGTTAATTACAGAGTGAAGGTGTCGTGCGTGTATTAATCAGGCAGCGTGGTAGCATATCTGTTTCTACTTCCCTGCCTTTTCTGTGCCCTGGAGATGGCGAGGTGCGGCTGGTTCCAGGGCAGAAACACGGCAGCATCCTGCGTCCCGGGTAACATGTCCCAATTTAGAAAAGATACGTAGATGATGACCTAGATTCTCGGGGGGTATGTGAAAAGTATTCCAGTCAGGTTGCTTTTTGTCTCCTCAGGAATAGGCATTTAATCCTAAGAAAGCCGAAAGGACAGTGGAGGTCCTAGGGCAGAGTGAGGCCTCGAAGGACCACGTGCCGGAAGGTGGGAGGTGGGCTGTGGGGCATCAGACAGAGAGGAAGGCACGCTGGGCCCCGGGCCGGCACGCTGAGGTGGGCCCCCCGCCCCGCCGTGGTAGCCCGTGTCCGTCTGGCCCACGTCAAGTCTCAAGCACACTTAGCTCACTGCTGAGCGAAGCCGCCATTGTCTTCATGGCTCCGATTTCTTTGAGAGGACTTAGTGATTGAGCCTCCCGACGATAAGTAATTCCAAGTAGCTCTTTCCTTTCTCTCCCTCCTGTTGTGCCGGGATTTTATCTTTTGCGGCACCAGGTCATGGGGTGTGGAAGGAATGGACGTGGGGTCCTGTGGTCTTGACTTCCTGCCCGCCGGCTCCTGCACAACCAGCCCCTCTGCACATTCATCTCCGGGAGAGATGGAATTCCTCTCCCTTCAAATGGATGTTGGTCACCACGGTGGCACTTGGATGCTTAGAGACTGATATTGGATATACTTCATCCTGTCTTGCTACTCTTTTAATCAGTGGAACATTCAAACCTCAGCTAATTAATGTCTTAATCCTGGGTTTAATGCCCAGAGGCAGCTTCGTGACCTATGCATATCGAAGGGGAAAAAACCAGATTGTGTAAATAAATCTCAGCCGAGTCCAGTTTTTGTCATTTCTGGCCTGTTGTAGGGGACTCTGGGCCCCGTGTGGTGGAGGAGCCTACTCCCCCATCCTGCTCACGGGCAGGGCCACCGGCCTGGGGACTCCGCACGACAGCCTGCATTGCCTGCACATGTCAGCCACCTCTTCTTGCTCATCAAAGAGCCTGAGTGTTCTCAGCCCAACCTGTTAACTGCACCTGTGTTGTCCTGTCCCGAGCCTGGGTCCTGTGGTGCCTCTTGGAGGAGGCGGCCTTGATCTGGTCCTGGCGACAGAAGACTTGCAGATAGTATTTCTTACCCCAACCCCACACATTCTGGGGCCAAACGAGGCTGTGGCTGAGTGGGACACTAGGTGGCCCTCGCTCTGGAGGGCCCGGGACAGCACAGGCTGGACCGTGGTGGAATCCTCTTTTTCTTTATCTTTTCATGTCTGGGAGTCATAGAAATAGCCGCATCAGAGTCGGGGCAGTCAATCCTTCCTGAAGATAGGGAGAAACTGCAGAATGCTAGGAAGTCTTGTTATTTTTTACAGTCATCGTAAAAACCGTTTCTGGTGCTTGTGTCCTGGAGAGAACTGGGCCAAGCTGGACGCCTGGGAACTGGGCAAGGCTTAGACCCCAAGGGCCCTGTGGATAATCAGGTGAGCCTGTTCTCAGGGCCTTTAAAGCTTGGATTCATTTGGGCCAGGCCGGTTTTGTTGGAAAACTGCCTTTGTGGCATAATTTGTCCTGGTTTGGGTTGATTTTTTTTTTTTTAACATGACTTAAAAATAAGTCCTCAGTAAACCAGGTAAAGGCCTGGTTTGTCATCTCCCACAAATTCAAATTGGGAAGGAAAGCAGGCCTCAGCATCATTGGTTGGAAGTGCTGGTGTCTCTGATGGGAAGAGAGTGTGGTTTGGGCACCAAGTCTCCTTGGAGGAGAAGCCAATGGCCTGATTTACTGGGCCCCTCTGCAGACCTGGGTGCTCCCGCTGTGGAGAGGGGCCATGGGGAAAGCCTGTGCCGTGGGCTCCTGTAGTTCAGGTCCTGGGGCTGCCTCTTCCTAGCCGTGTGGCTCAGGGCGAGGCAGTGGCTGTGGCAGTCTGTGCTGCTGGAGCCTGTGCAGGCTGTGCCCCTGTCCCATGCAGGGCAGGCCTGGCTGATCGACAACCCACGCTCTCTGCCAAACTCCCCTGGGGTGGGGTGGGGGAAGCCTCTTTTTCTTCTTTGAAAAGAGCCACGAGCTCTCGTTTCTGGAAGTAAGGCGTTTTCCAGCTTTGGTGCAATGACCAGGTACTATTTCCAACCCTGGTTCCTGCGTGTCTGTTTTGGGCCAAGCCCTTGGGGTGAAGCAACACTGCCCCCCAGGACCACAGCCTTTTTAGGAAGAGACTTAAATGTAAGAGTCCCGGGTATGGTAGCTCTCCAAGGATTCCTATAGATTGCCCTGGAAACCTAGGGAAGGGGCTTTGGGGAGCTCCTCCCCCACCTTGAGAAAGGTGTGGTCCAGGTGGGAGCTGGTGGTGAAAGGGGGTGAGCAGAAGAGGTAGGTGGTGGAGACAGGCATGGAAAGGCTCGTGAGTAGTTTTAACTCCAACTGGAGGACATTTAGAGGCCCCCAAAGCTTTTAAGCAAGAAAAAGCCTGGTCGCATTTGCGTTTCCTAAAGATCCCCGGCCACTGCCAGTGAGCACAGAGGCCTGCAGGCAAGAAGAGGCCGGAGAGCTGTCCAGGCTGGAGGCAGTGGGGGCCGGATGGAGAGAAACTGAGGGTCTGAGAGAGGTTGTGGAGGTAGAATTGGAGCCCTTGGTCCTCGCTTGGATGTGGGAGCAACAGATGGATGACAGGGAGGTGTCTGGGAGGGTGCGCAGGTGTCTGTCTGAAGCAGCACGGGTGCGGCGGAGCTGTGGGGTGAGATGGGGGAGTTGGGGTCACACTGAGCTGGAGAGCCTGGGGGGCATGCAGGTGCGGGTACAGCGGAGCGGCTTGTGCCAGTGACTGGGGTTCGGGAGCAGGAAACAGGAGCAGGAAAGGGAGACGGGGCCAGATGATGCAGGGCTCCCCGTGCTGCTTCTTGGCAGTCCCAGAATGCCTCTGGACTTGGCAGCCGAGGGTCCTGCTCCCACATGTTGGTGAGAGGGGGGCTGGCAGGCCGGGGGGCAGTGGTAGGCTGAGGGAGAAGTGGTGGGGGATGAGATGGACGAGAGGTTTGAGATAAAACACAAAAGCAGCTCTTGTTCTCCTCACAAAGCAGAGATGGTAATGGTTTGCCTTCCAGAAATGTGGCAGAGCAGTGGGAGGTAGAGCTTGCCTGGTGGAGGAGGAAGAGGTAAGTGGGTGGTCATGGAGCTCCCAGTAATAGGGGCCGCGTGGGGTCCAAGCCCCGGTGCAGAGCCTGGTCTGCCCCTTCCCTTGTAACACGAATGCGGAGGGGAAGGCTTAGGAGTTCGGAGAGGAGGGGATAGAGATGAGCTCATTCGTCTGCTGAGAAGGGGAGGAGGCCCAGGGAGGGGAGAGATCTTAGGGAGATAAAGCTGAGAGGAGCCCTCCGGCCCTGCGTGTCCCCTTGAAGCTCATGGCAGAGCTGGGACGGTGTCGAGGCCGGTGGGGCTGGTGACTGGGAACTTGCTGTACCATCCGCCCAGTCAAAGATTTGCCTGTGACCCTTGTGGCCCTGGATCATGCTTGCAGTGGGCACAGGTTCTGGCTCATCCCTCGTGGGGGTTTGGCCCAGCCCGTGTAGCTGTGTGGCATAGGGCCTAGGGGTCTGAAATGTTGGCAGGACAAACCAGGGATCTGAGTGGAATAGGGGGGCAGAGGGCTGGGGGTGGGCACAGCCTGGGCCTGGCTCCCCTGTGTTGTTACTCTGGCCATCACTGCATTTGAGAACAGTGACCCACTCTCTGCTTACCAGGGGCTCGGGCCGGGCGGAGCAGGTGGCAGTGGGGAGCGAAGCCCTGGGGGCTGCTTGGTTATCCTGTGAGTGGATTTGGACCTCAGGAGCTGAGCTGCTCATCCCAGTCCTGCCCAGGCTTTGCACCCTCCCCTCCAGGGCCCGGGAAGCAGCTTCCTGTTCTGCTGGTGGGATTGCTCCCAGCCCCCTGGTGGGGAATCAGAGACACCTTCTGATGACAGAGAGCCCAGTGTCAGGCTTCAGGGTCTGCTTCCTCCGGAAAGAAAGGCTGTTCATGTGGAAAAAGTCTCCCTAGGCTGACGGGTTTATCTTTTCCACATTCCCCAGAAGGTTTTACGGTCTTAGAAGGGCGTCACGGTACTGTAAGATGCCTCCGTCACTTCCCTGTGACAGATGGCTGGCTGTCCCAGCTGGATGGTACCATGGAGACGGTGTGAGTCAGCGGCTGGCTCAGGCTGCTTCTGCAAAATCCCCAGAGGTTCGCTGCCATCCTTGGCCTTGGTCAGCCTTCAGGATGCAGACAGCGGCTGGAGGAGACAGTGAACGGGGGTGGGGGGGCGTGCTGGCCTGCCATCGTCAGACACTGGCTTTGCGGATCTGCAGGGTGCACGAGTGTGTTCCCTTCGCGAGAGGGAGAGGCTGTGTGGGAGCGTTGGCGAAGGCATGCCATCTTGTGTAAGGGAAGCAGAGCTGGCCACAGGGCATGCGCCAAGGACACTGGACCCTTAATGACCGGTCACGGCTGCCCCTGAAATGCCCATGCCCTGGAGTTGCTTATCTGAAGTGGAGGTTGAAAATGAATATTTACGTAGCTTCTCTAGCTGAGTCGTACTTGGCAATGAGGTTGATCGCCAAGACCAGAGACCTAACCACATTTGGGCAAATTAACATGAATTCATTATGGGGGCCCCCAGGACCCATCACAATCCAGCTACAGGAGGCACAGTGGAGTCTCGAAGGAGAGCAGGGCGTCTGGGTTGCGCCTGCCTCCCCCACGCAGCCCCCCCCCCCCCGCCCCCCCGCTCCTCTTGCCTGTTCTTAGTCTCCTCCTCTCTGCAGACTGGCTGTTTTCCACATTCTTTCCTGCACTCACGGCTGGAAGTGGCTGCACCACCCACTGTTGCCACCTCCATCCCTGGATCCTGCAGGGGGCCTGACTGGGGTGGGGGAGGATTCCTGGGCTGCCCCAAGAGCAGGTGGGTGGGGTGGGGAGGAGTAGACCTTTTCAGCCTACCAGGCAGAGCCCTGAGAGTCGGCACACTAGATTCGGGTCCAACAGCTTCGCTAGGTAGATTTTATCCCCATTTTATGGTTGGGGAAACTGAGTCTTGGTGAGGCAAGACATGTCTGGCTGCAGAATCTGGGTGTCTTCCAGCACCCCACTGCACACCCCCATGCCTCAGTAGCCTGTCTGGGCCCAACCTGGCCCCGTGCTGCTTCCCAGCCCACACCGAGTGTGGTGGACCCCGCGGTCTCCGTGGGTGGGAGGGGTCCGGCCAGCCCCCATCACTGACTTGCCACTTTGTTCTTCTCTCTAAAGCCGGGTCTTTAAGACGGACATGGAGCTGGAGGTTTTGCGTTATACCAATAAAATCTCCAGCGAGGCCCACCGGGAGGTAAGCTGGGCGCTGTCGTAGCTGGGCTGGGCAGGCAGCAGGGCTCTGAGTGGGGCGGGAGGGCCTCGTTGAGATGGATGGTCCCGCGGCAGCTCCAGTCCCGAGGGCCATGTGAACAGGCAGCAGGTGGTGGCTCTTTTCTCTTCCCCAGTGGGGGCAGGACAGAGACAGCAGAGGCTCTGCCCTAGCCCCTCCCCCAAAGGCACCCACCCTCGGGACATTCCCCAGCAAGAGTTCCCCGCTTCCCGGAGTGTGGGGTTCTCCTTCCTGGCACTCAGGTGGTTCTAGCTCCTTTTAAATGATCTCCCGTCCTTACCTGTGATTCAAGCACAGTGATCACTGCCCTCTGTTTTCCAAAAACAGCCTCTGTCAGGCAGCTCTTCCCCAAACCACCCCACTTCACCTGAGGGGAAGAGCAGACAAGGAGGTGTATTCCTGCAGGACGCCTAGGGTGACTGGGGCAGCCAGGTGCCGGCACAAGTGACAGTCGCAGGGAGACAGACAAGGCTCATGGGTGGGCCACGGTATCTTGCATGAGTTCATCTTCTGCGTGTTCAGCGACAGCCAAACAAAGGAAACCTTTTAGGCTAGGCATTGCTTCCCGAGCATTAAGGATTCACCAGACATCTTGGTGAAATCTTGGCCACTGCCTGAGCCCACCCTGTGGCTTGCTGCCGGGTGCTCATGAGCCCCCAAGTGGAAGCGCTCTGGCATGGTTTAAGTGAACCGTGTGGCTCCTGGAGCTTTAAAACAGTTCGAATTTGTCCCGTGTCTGCACCTCCGCACGCCCAGACCATTCCTTTTTTTTTTTTTTTTAAAGAAGAGTTTCTTTTGAAAACCTGCTATATACATTATTTATAAGGCAGTGTTACTTATCTCCTTAATACAAATGTCTTTGCTTAATATCCATCCTCCAGGTAATGAAGGCCGTAAAAGTGGGAATGAAGGAATATGAGATGGAGAGGTAAGCTGCTGTGTTTCTCTGGGTAATGATTAAAATGTGAAAAATAGTCATCGACGTCCCCAGAGCGGGGACTGGATGGGCGCCATGGGGCAGAGCGGGGACCGTGAGCAGGGCTTGGCGACAGGAGCGGGGCGTCTGTCTCCGGACTGTGGCCACCTCCCTGGCTCTGGGCAGAGTGTTTGACGGTAATGGCCTCTGATGACTTGTTGGGATGGTTTAGTGCCCCATCATTCCACGCTTGGACTTTGTTTCTGCAATTTGCGGGAAACGTTACCAAATAGCTCCTGTCGGGACTCCGAAGGCCGCTGGTGATACAGCATGCCATTTTTATGTGTGGACATCGCCGTTAGGTCGGCTGTGCTTGGACGGCCAGGTCGAGGAATGGTTAAGTGGCTCGTAAAGCTTTCTGGAGAACTCCATTGTCCTCCGGCTCTAATCAGGCTCACAGCGAGCCGCTGCCCGTCTGCCACCTCCAGAACTTCCTGGGGTGGCCCAGCCACAACGGGTGGGGCCCGGTCAGCTCCTCAGCCCCACTCGACTCCGGGGCCCAGGGCTCAGCACGTGCTGCCTGTGGCCTGAGGAAGCCCTGGGGTCACACCCAAATTGCCCCAGTGGCTCACCTCCCACCCAGGTCCTGGGGCAGGAGATCCCCAGTCCAGCATCTCCCCGCAGTGACCGCACCATCTGGAAGCTCTGCGGAGGAGACCACGCAGAAGAGGCTGCCAGTACTAAGAAATGCACATTTGGTCTCTGCCCCCAGTTCCTGGCACAGAGCTTCTAGAACCCTTCGGTGAAAGTGTCTTTATTCACAATAAGGCCCTTTCACTTGCACCTGAGTGACTCTTAGAAGGTGGGGGCTGGTTGCTAGAGACTGGGGGTTGGGACTCTCAGCCCTGCCCTTGAACTCCAGGGGGAGGGGAGAGTGGACAGAGGGGGAGTTCTGAGCACTGACTTGCTCAGCTGTGCCTGCAGAAGGGAACCTCCATAGAAACCGTAAGCAGTGGGAGTGCTGGGAGGGTGGTGGGCCTGGGGGCAGGGCCTAGAGGCTCTCCGTCCCTTCCCCTGTACCTTGCCCTGCGCATCTCATCTCTCTTCTGTTTGGCTTTTCTTGAGTTGTGTCCTTTCTGATAAAGTGGTAATAGTAAGTAAAGCACTTTCCCGAGTTGTGTGAGCCACTCAAGCAGATTATAAACCCAAGGAAGGGATCATGGAAACCCCCAATTTATAACGAGTCAGTCGTAAGTACGGAGCCCTTAACCTTGAGGTCTGTGCTAACTCGGGCAGTTAGCGTCAGAATTAAATTGTAGGATGGCCGGTTGGTGACCACAGAGGATTGGAACATTGCTTGGTTTGGAAAACCCACATGCTTGGTGTCAGAGTGTCGTGTGTACAGAAAAAAAAAACTTTTCCCTTCACCACCACCCCTGTTCTGGGCTGCCCCTTCCTACCTGGCCTTGTAGGAGCTTGGTGCTGCCCCCCTCCCCCACTTTGCAGAGCCCACCTGGGTGCCCTGAGGGACCGCTCTGCCCCACGTGCCCCTCCCAGCCTTTCTGGCCTGCCCACGGTGTCAGTGTGGGGTGAGGGCAAGGTGCAGGGTCAGAGTCGGTCATGGGCACAGTGGGCGTAATGTTTACCATCATGTGGCTTGGGGAGAGCATCTCTTTCAAAGTCTAACCCTGAAAGGAGTCTGGAACAGAGGGCCTCTGTCTTTCTGTCCTCTTACCCTGCGTAGAAAGAGGTTAACATGGCCTCGAGGGCCCTTGTTGCTGTGGTGTCCCGGGAGGGGGCATGGAACAAGAGCTTTGTCAGGGACCCAGCTCTGTCACTCTGGAGGAGGATGGGGACAGGAACACACAGCTGTCCCCGCCTCTGCCTTTACATGGTCTGCTGCTCTGATAGTCCCAGGGTCCTTGTCCCCCACCAGGATCTGGGACAGAGGGAGTTATGCGGGGGCTACCTGAGAGGTGGGCCAGGTAGCAGACCCCCAGATAGGCACTGCCCCACACATCTCTTCCCAGCTGAACTGGCCCATAGCAGGTGCCTCACACAAAAATAACCCAGAAATTAGAGCAGGGCTAGCTTGCCCCAGAGTGGAGCCCTGCCGTCCCCTGCGCGCCGGTGGCCTTGTATCCTCAGCTGCCAGCAGCCTAGCTCTAAAGCCGGTTCCTGGGAGGGGCAGGAGCTACCCTCCCATCCCGGGGTCCAGAGCCTGAGCCCGCCACCGCTGTTGCCCAGCCAGGCCTGAGTGTGAGCTCTGAGCAGGGGCTCTCGGAGCCCCACCGCCAGCTCCCTACTCCCCCATCCAGGGCATGGAGGTTTTTTTTCTCTTTTAATGAGAAATTTCAAATATCCACCACCCCCCCACAAAAAGAAAAAAGGACAGGATAATGAATCTCGAAGTCCCCACCAGGGTTTTCACTTCATCTTGTTTTGTCATCATATTTAAAACCAAGCCCCAGATGTCGTGTTGGTTCAGCTGTCAGACTGGCAGCAGGCGCCTTAGTCAAGGAGGCTCGCCCTTTACAAACCCACCACGTCATCCTCACTTCTAACCAAATTAACAGTAATTCCTTAACCTTGTCGATGCCCAGTCCACGCCAGTCTCTCTGTGTGGGATCCAGAGCCTACACATTGAGCTGTCCTGTCGCACGAAGGGGTCTTTGTTTCGCTGAGCTGTGGGGACATAATCCCTTAGTCTTCAAACCGCTCAGCGCCCCCCGCCCTCCATCCCCTGGTCCCACGGCTGCCTCCTCTGTGGATCAGGAGAATCGAGACTGAATCTCACGCCAGGGCCACCCTGAGGGTGCCGAAGGGCGTTACTTTGGCTTGACGGGTGTGTGTACTGTTGTGCGCCTCCTGTATGCCCTGCCTCCCATGGCTGGCTGTAGGAGGTACGCAAGGAAAGCAGGAACCTTCCTGGGGTGCATGCTTGGAGGTTGTGGACGGCGCTGAGGAAAAGCTGAGGCAGAGAAGATGAGAACAAAAACGGAGTCTGTTCCTGAAGGACAGGTGGGCAGGGTGACCTGGGGAGCAGACAGTGTCACCTCCAAAGGCAGTGGGAAGATGGTTGTTCTGGGACATCTTGGGGTGTACCTGGCCAGATTTGACAAGGGCGCTCCCTATGGCCAGGGCCAGCTGAAGCCCGCAGGACAACGGCAGTGGTGAGCAGGGGGCTGACTTCTCTGTCCTGAGCTTTCCTCCCCATGGGCGAGTTTCTCTGTCACTGCCCGGGTGGCTCTGTGACACAGTTCTGTGGTCTGCGTCCTTGGGAGGCTGGAGGCTTCTTGAAGTCATATCTCCTTTATGTACAGTGTCTGCCCCACGGTTGGAGTCAAGAAGTACGTGTCTGTGGGTTGGCTGGATGGATGGGAGACAGAGGGAAATGTCCTGAGCTATTTTTTGCTGTCCTCTATGCTGCCATGAGCTTTTAGAATTCTTTTCTTAACTAGGTGGGGAGTATAAAGTCTCCTCTAGAGCTGGTGTTGTTTCCCGTGGGCTGTGACCCTTGTCACGCAGGCTGGACCAATGCCCGGGAAGGCCCAGGACGGCCAGACTCCTCTGCAGGCTGCTGACCCAGGGGGGTCAAAAGAGCATCTCTAGAACCTACTGGGTGTTCTGCCAGGAGCACAGCTGGCACCAGCCCCCCAGGGGGACACAGGGCAAGGAGAGCAGGGACTCCTGTGTGTCCGGATGAGGCAGGATGGGAGCAGAGGACAAGAGGCCGAGATGGGGCTGATTTTTCTCAAAAAAAGGGCACAACATCAAGGCAGCAGTGCTCAGACTCTAGTCCTAAGCCTCGGGGTTTTTTGTTGTTTTATTATCAAAGGCTTGTTGTACACTCTTGAGGGCATGTTGAAAGAAAAAAGAGGGGTGCCTGGGTGGCTCAGTGGGTTAAGCCTCTGCCTTTGGCTCAGATCATGATCTCAGGGTCCTGGGATCAAGGCCCGCATTGGGCTCTCTGCTCAGCGGGGAGCCTGCTTCCCCCTCTCTCTCTACTGTGCTGCTCTGTCCCAGGCAGCGGCCCACACTGGCCCACACTGGTGGCCTCCCGTTCTCTTCCAGTCCTGCATGAGCAAAGCGCTCGCCCAGCTATGCTGCGTGCAGGGCCTGTTGCCTTTCCTGCCCTCTGGCTGGATGGAGCGATGCACCTCCTGGGTGTGTGGTGTGCCCACTGAGTCAGGGCTGGGGGCGGGCCGCTCGAGGGCCCAGGGGGTGGGGTCTTCTCCCCTGACCCTGAGTGCCCACGCATGTGTGTGCACACACACTATCCACTGACACCACACACGTACACACACACAGAGATACCACACACCCATACACGCCATAGACACACACAGATACCGCTGACACTGCACACACAAACACACACATGCTGTCCACTGACACCACACAGGTACATACACACAGAGACACTGCACACCCACACACACCACAGACACACACAGATACCACTGATGCTGTGCATGCGTGTGCACACACACACACACTGTCCACTGACACTACACACATACACACACACAGAGACACTGCACACCCACAAACACCACAGACACACATAGATACCATGACGCTGCACACACACACACACACACACACACTGTCCACTGACACCACACACGTACACACACGGAGAGACACTGCACACCCACACACACCACAGACACACACAGATACCATGACGCTGCACACACACACACACTGTCCACTGACACCACACATGGGGGTATAGCTCAGTGGTAGAGCATTTGACTGCACTGACACTACACACATACACAGAGAGACACCGCACACCCACACATACCACAGACACTGCACGCATACACACAACCCCACAGACATACCACATACACACACCCCCACCCCCACAGACATATGCTCCCATAGACACACCATAGACATATGCACACAGATACCCTGAAGACTTACCACACACACACACACACCCTATAGACATACCACATACTACACACAAATACCCACACACACCACAGAGACACCTT